CGTATGGAGCAGCGATAGCGATAGACATGTGGATGTGATGACTGCGGAAACCTCGGAAAGCGTCGTACTCCTGCACAATGTTAATGAGAACCTCAAAACCAAGAGACGGGTTGGTTACCTTTCCATTGGATGCCTTCGCATACTTTGGATTCTTGAGGGTGACGTTATAGTGGGGTATGAAGTGGAAGGAACGTCCGCCATCGTCCAAGTTGCGCTCAAATACCAGCCCGGCAACCCAGCGTACATTGCCGTTCAGTTTCATAACCGTTTTCTTGAAGACGGCTCTCTGCCTACGACTAGACATGCTAGATGCAGTATCTGGACGGGCCACAGCTTCGGTCTCAGCGTCGTGACGAGCGAAGTGATTGAGATCCGGGATGGCGAGCACGTAGCTTCCGCTCTTGACGATCATGAAGTTTCTAGGATCTTCGTCCTCAGCGATGCTGAGTTGCACGTCGTTTTGCCAGCACATGACAAAACCTGCACCATGACCAGTGACCATGTACGGATCGCGTGAACCTGCATTCCGTTAGTCAAGTGATCGTGTTCGATGCATTGTTTTTTTACCTTTGAGAATCAGATGAACGTCGCCGTCGCCCTTCCACGAAACATTGATGCGCGAGTGGAAGGTCAACCTGATCTTGTCCCAGAATCCGACCCTCTCGGAGGGGTCTACAGCAGGCTTCGTAAAGTTTTCAATAATTTGCATCATGTCTTGAATTGCTGGCTGATACGACGTGCCCCAAGTGATTCTTGTCGGGTATGCTGAGTTAATATCGATCGCCATGTCAGAGTATGTCTTCACGGGCGCCACAGTCCGACGAACGTCTACCGCATATCCGCGCGTGAGCTCGCCTGCAGAATTCCGCTCTTGAGGCACAACAACAACTCGACTGACACGGGAAGATTCAACGTCCCTGAACTCTTCTGCGATCACGAAATCTGTCTTCATCAAGACGCTCGGTAGCCGAGACGACTGTATATTGCCGATGGCTGGGAAGTGCAATAGTGGCAGCGGATAATCGCGAAGGTGGATCTTGGCTTCTCCCATCTGTATTTGAACGTGCATGGGGATCAAGAGAGCGTACTGCGTATCAAATGGCATACCTTTGCCGACACGGTGCAGGAAGCGTGGGTACTCCGAAATGGGGAACGAGGGCTTGTCAATGACAATCTCCAGGTCGCTGACAGCCAGCGCCATTAGGGCTGGGCGTTGCGAGACAGCAAGAATGGTTTCCTTTTGCTCAATGTCATCCGGCAGTTCGTCCAAGCCCCAGAATGTTGAGCGGATGTCGTTCATGGATCGATTCTGAGTTGCCATTGCGAAATCGATACGCTTTTTCCACGTCTGAGCGTTCAGGCGATTCAGCTTCACGCGCGCATCCTGTACTGATGTTTCATATGATCCACTAAGACCGCTGAAGCCATCCTTATTATACCGCATAGGATGGTCTGAACGTCCCCTTTCTGGTGAGCTATGTCCGCTCGAGTCCGCACTCTTCGTGCGCCGGTGGAACCTAAGCTCTTTGTCCCTTTTCTTAATCTTGTTCCGGCCCCGAGAATCATGTGCTGACCTTGCACGGTAACGTGTACCGCCTCGTTGTTCGTCTTGCTGTTGTAGTTTCCGCACTTTTAGATCAAAGGCGTGTTCACGAGCAAGTCTCTGCTTCTGCTCCATGAGTCCAATGCGGTAGATGGTTCCGAGCTTCCATTCAAAGGCGTTGTCTTCCAACTCAAAGAGGACAGCACGACTTCGGAGCGATATCTTTGGCACGATTTTGGGACCTTCGGCTTCTTTGTCCAGTACGTACTCATTGGTTCCAGTCTTGAAGCGGTGATGCACTTGCTTGGCAGTCTTCGCAACGTTCGCGACGTTGTCGAAGATTTTGTGCATGACCAGTTGATGAGGTACAGCGATTCTTATCGCGTCCGTCGCTATGTCAAATGACTTCTCATTCGTTACTGTGTGACCGTATCTCAGCTTGGACTGGCGATAGTCCAATCGCAGAGACTTGACACTGACGATTCGACTCCAAGCACGTTTGATGGCAGGATTCTCGGCGAATAATCGCACCAGACGTGCCCGAAGGAAGGGGCTGGCCCAGCGGTGCTTTCCCGCTTCAAGTCCGTAGATCTGGAGCATCAGAGGTGGATCTCCAGGCATGTCTGCTTTGATCTGGAGAAAGTGAGATTTGACGTCGATCGTCACGATCTCATTGTTGGTTGCACTGAGTGGGTCAACGACATCCTCGCCCAACGACGGTACGGACAGATGTCGTGGCGAGTTGGACGAGCTTGACTCTGGAGCCTTGGTCTTGCCCGCACCCCAATCGAAGGACCTTTGCAAGACCTGCATTGCCATGCACAAGGCGAAATGACGATAGAGCGAATAACGCAAGAAGAAGTTCTGGCTGTACGAATGCACGTGAAATATCGGGCCCTGCTTATCGGAGAGCGTGTGCAGAGCAATCTCCATACGGGGCAGCGATACCGTTGGTTCTTGTTCGGACTGTTCGTCGCCCTCGATAACCAAGCCCTCTAGCCCATAGAAATGTAAAGCAAGCCGTCTACCATCGGTTGGGCTGTTTAACATCCCTTTCGGTGACTTGGGTGAGGATGGAGGCGGTGATCTAAGCAGATGCTCCTCGCGATTGATGCTTCTACTTGGTGCGCGTCGCCTTGCAGGTCTTAGATCTATGTCTTCTTCCCGTCCTGTTTTGTATTCGGCTGTCCAGGATTCCAAATGCAGAGCGACTCCCCGACTGCGTTTAGATACATCAGGATCTATTCCAGCGACGTCCACGTTAAAGTCCGATCCTTGAAGGTGTACGTATGTCATCCAGGCCGGTAGTCTTCGGAGTGCGTTAACGCCCTTCTTTCTGAGCGGGCTACGCCGACGACCTATGTCTTTTGACATTTGTGTGACGATCTGCCGCAGTCCTTCACTGATTTCCGGCCGAACCATGTAGAGAGAGAAAGTTTGTGCGGTACCCCAGACCTCCACGACTGGGTCAGGAGCCGCACTCATCTGGACCTTGACTTCGAGATAGTCGGTCAGGAGCAAGTTGTGTTTCTCGATAGCCGCGGTCTGGTAGTAGAGTTGCTGTGCGTTCATACGGAAAGTTGAGCTCAGTGCGTAATGCAACTCGCCATCCGCAGAGTGTGATGATTCCATGTCCAAAGATATCGAGGAAGACGCGGAGATGAGTAGATCGAACTCATCGGCCTCATGCTTGTCGGGGTCCATCGGTGGTAGAGTGACCCGGATGACAGGTTCATGGACGGATATTTTGATGTTTGCTTTGGGCAAGAGCCGGCGGAACAGATATCGCTTACGTTGTCTAGTCTCGGGCGGCTTGCGGTGCAGCTCGTAATTGTGGAAAATGGCGAGGAGTAGTGGTAGATGCTTGGGGTCAAGGTCCAGAGATGGTGATGTGACGACCAGGTTGGCGAATAGTATGTTGGTATTGCGCTCGGCGCTATCCTTGTCATTAGAGAAATGAATAGTTTTAGAAGGAAGGGTCGTGTTCAGGGTCATGGTCGCCATAGGAATGTATAGGAGGCGCTCGGGATGGCCGTCGCTATTGTCGATTCCGACAGATATGGATATGGCGGCAAGAAGAGCCTGGTGGGCAATGTCGTCGGGCGAGAAGTACATGAGATGCGCGGGACTGCGAGGATCGAGGCGAAGGAGGTCCATGCCAACTTCCTTCATGGAAAGGTTGAGGTAGACTGGAGGCTCGGAGCTGTGGCCCATTTCGATTTGCTTGGTGAGGCCGAGGAAGCCAATCGCGAACTGGAACTCGTGAATACCGCGGAGGATGGAGCTGGCGAACTCGCGCGAATCGGATACGGTGCGCACGAGGTTTTCTTCGCGGCTGTTGGGGTCGTCGAGCTCTTCTATAACATCGCTGAGTGATACATGTGTGCGACTGCCCCGAGACCTTTTCCGAGGATTAGGCGTGCGAGACTTCTGGGCCCTTTCCATGCACAGCTTGACATCGTCGAGTGGGATAAGGAGGCGACCCAGCTTGAGCGCAATGGATGCATCTCGCAGACCCTCAAGGCCTTTCTTGAGGAATCCGTGGACATTGAGAGTACAGTGATCCAGCAGCTCCGTCGACTCTCTGCCTTCTGGGGTGAAGAGGATGCTGCGGGCGGAGAAGAGCCATTCGGCAGGCCACTGCTCTTCGTCGGACTTGGGCTTGTGGTGGTTGAAGAGGCGACTGCGATCGACCGTCTTGCGTCGTGTGTCGACTGCTAGGTTGAGACCGCCGACCTGGATGGAGCCCACGTCGACTACAACCAGGGTGGTCGCGTGAGCCACGACATCGACTTGCCTGAGCCAGTTGATGTTCCTGTGCAGACGCTTGATCTTCTCCTTGGCATCTGTCAGCCGCTTCCACGTCAGGCTTCTCGGTGTCTCGTCATCGCCCAGCTCGTCATCCTCCGCCACGGGCTCGGGCGTGTTCTGGCCGCTCTTGCCCTTTTGTGTGGTGCCGTTTGCCCAATGGGCCCATCCCGTCTTCTTCCGCGGCTTCTCCCCCAGCGCTTTGAGGTCAACCGTGACCTTGAGCTCGTGCAGGACGATGCTGACTACCGTGGGTTGTGCGAATGTGGGTCGGTGAAGGGTGAAGCCGAGTCCGCGGATCTCGATGCGCAGGCCATCCTTGGGCGTGAAGGCGATGCGTCGCAGCCCCCGTAAGCCCAGGCGCTGTATGGAGACCCCAGTAGCTATGCGTATAAAGGCGAATAGGACGAAGGAGAGCAGGTATATTAGGAGCACGAGCCCCGCGAGAAACTGGAGGGTTGGCAGAGCCATGATGCTGCTTCAACCGTATGCCATTGACCGAGTCGAGGATTATCGAACGAGGTGGTCGCGGATGCACGCGACGTGCCGGAGTGATGGCAGAGTCGGCCGGCGGAACATAATCGAAGGGAGCGCAGGCGCAGGGCTACGAGGGTTGCTGCATCGAGGGCGAGGGTGTACGTAGGTGAAAGCGCGGACTTAACGGTCGGGGCAGATGAAAGCGGCCAAAGCGGCAGGCCCGGATCGCGTCGCTGAGTCGTAGCGGCTGTTGCTAGTGAAAAATTCAGGGCGAACAGGAGGATCGCGATCTAGCAAACTCAATGTAGGCCCTCTCCAGACTCTCTGCGGGGCTCCGTATTTGCTTCGCTTGGTGTCTTGTGCTGATGCCGTCAGATTTCCAGGTTCCCACGCTTCGTCGGCACGACATCCCTGCATCGCCAAGACCCACCCACGTACCGGGAAGGAGCTTAACTGCCACGCGACTGTCACCCAACGACACATCTGCGGGCTGGCTGATTCACGCTCACGTGCCACAAACCTGCACTGGCATGACTATTTGTTTCCGTGGTGCTGAGCCAGAGGGGTTCCCGGCCATATCAACCCATCCATCCATCTAGCCAGTCGTTCCTGCCAAGCACGACCGATCGCGGCTGTCTGCATACGTGGGACGACAGATCCAGGAACCTCATCCCGCATTACGGCCGAACTCCAACGGCGGCGGGAACAAAGAGACGCTATCCTTGCGGTGGATCATTACCTTCCAACCCTTCGAACGCTCTACCACGTCAACCTAGGAAAAAACTGGACAGGCCTGCAGCCTACATCAACATAGAATTATGCAAAGTGGGTGACCCAACATCGATGTAGGCTCTAGACCTGTTTAGTTCTTTTCTTATATGAATGCTACTAGATAGATGAGGTCCTTGTTCGCACGCAATGGTCCCAATTCTATCAGTGAACTTGTCTTGATGATTGTCTATCAATGTCACCTTCCTCTCCGCGTTCAACGCGGCTTCCTCGAGGCCTCGCGCCTTCGCAACAGCTGCTCATACCCCGGTATCCGGCAGGAAGCGCGTGCAGGTAGAAAGAAGCTAATGATGTACATCAAACTTGGAAATGTAGCACCTCTTTCACCTTAGTCCATCACATCGCCAGAACATGGATAGCCACAATCTTCATGCAAACATAATGCAGCTCCGGTTGGAACTGCAAGGAACACGCTACCCATGACCCTTCCGCCACCCCGTCCAAAAGAATTCTTCCGCTACACTGATCCCATCGGCTTCACCTATATATGCATTCTCGCTGTACGACCGGCGAACTCTAAGTGGTTTCTCAAAGCTTTCATAGGAGGGTTCAAGGTACAGTCAACTGTACCGCTAAAAGTAAATTTCGGCTGACCCTGTTTCCTAGGAGGCATCTCAAAACACCATCGAGCTTCACGATGACGATCCTCAGAACTTCGAATACATGCTGAGGTTCTTGTACACAACGGAGATGGCCATTCCGTCTCTTACGAAAAATGCAAACAGCAAACAGAAGATCCAGCGGAAAATATTGATCCCCATCGGTGTCTTTATCTTGGCGGACAAGTATGAGATCGGACGTCTTCTTCGACATACAAAGAGCCAGGTCGAGTCAGGCATGCGCAACTACAGCAATCTCTTCGAAGACGACGTCACTATTCCAATTATAGTTGCGGCATACTACAGCAACTGCGCGCGTGCTGAGAGTGGCACGGGGGCCGTCATAGCAAGGGGAATGATAGACCACGCCACACGGTGGTTGCGTTTTGGAAATTTGGATACTCTTAAGGGTATAGTCATCCACAGCGGTCACTTTGCGGCAGATCTTATCATCGCGATGAGAAGCGCAGAAAAAACATGACAGTAGTGGAAACAGGAATGAAGATATGCATCTAATCTCAACATCAAAGACAGGGAAAGCGGAAGCATGCTGCAAGGTCGAAGGACATAGATTTCTCTTAAGTGGTCTGCTCTATCTGGTGTGTCTGGACTCTTTAGATGGGAATTGCCCTAAACAAAAGATCTCAATCAAAGCACAGTGGAAATACGAACCCTACTTCCGAATCATACTCGAGGAGTCACATCAAGTACACTGCTACCCTCCCACTGACCCCACAGCTTCCTCATAACACCCTGCCTCTCCATCATATCCTGCAGATCCTTCAACGCAGCAAGCCGACCACTTCCATCCTCCATCTTCCAATTCCAACCCTCCGAGCGACCAGCCATGACAAGCTCCCACTTCGCCTTGTTGTCGACCGGCTGCATATGCGCACCAGGTTCGCTGTACACCGTGACAACATCGCGGGCTTGCAGGAAAGTGAAGTTGGATGTACCCTGAATGCATTCGCGGATCTCGAGGACCTTGAGGGCGAGATGCGGGTTGTAAACGCGTGCAGTATCTGGTTGCGTTAGCTATATATGTGTAAAATGATGATGTGAGAACTTACTGAGAATAACAATCTTCATCTCATCAGCCACTTCCGCAACGGCGACTTCCTTCTCCTCGTGACCCGTCTTCTCAACCATTCTGACGTCGATCTGGCGGCCGCCAACCTTGCTCCAGCACAGCTCTTGTACTGCGCGCTCAGCCTCCCCGTCTCCGGCGACCTTGATGAATGTGCGTAGCGGGTAAGCGAGGTTCTTGACGTTGGGGAGCGCGAAGTCAGGCGAAATCGTGAAGTCCTGGAAGAGTGAAATAACGTCTCGGTGAGTGAGCTTTGGAGAGTAATTGGAGAGCTCGATGGTGGACCAAGACATGTTGGAGAGTGAGGTTGTGGGAGAGGGAGTTGGTGTTGGCGGTGTAATTATGACGGTGATTGGGTGAGGGAGAGGAAATCGACGTGGGGCGAGGCGGTCTAGGTGTAGTGAATGAATGGCCTTGGTGAAGATATAGTGGGTGAGATTGGTCGGCTCGCACGTTTGCGCCTGCGGTGTAGTCATTTTAGTCTAACATGGGTTGTTAGTAGAGTAGGGGTAAACGCTGTCCAATCGCAAAGAGGTTCCGGTATGGCGGTGGTGGAGAGAGGATGAGATGCGAAGTTCAAAGCTGCTCGAAGTTTACTATCTACCAGATGATGATATCCGCAGTCACCCTGACATAGATTTCAGATTCACATTCACCCTGCAATCGTGTACATGACCTTCTTAAGCAGTAAACAAGAATAGGGAAGATAAAACTGCACTTGAGTAGACGATGATCCAAGAGAATAAGATACTCGTATCTGTAATGTATCCGGACAACTACCGCATCTGATAATGGGTATATCTCAGTGGTGATAACGTAGCGTGACGAACAAAGACTATCAGCATTTTATTACCGTCGACGACAAGGTGCGGTGAAGCCACACAGGCACCCACATGGCGACGACTTCCACTATTAGTTGACTCCATGTATTCGGCAATCCGAAGGGGTCTCTTCGTAGAAGAGAAGCAGTACAGGAGAAGGCGCGTGCCCACGTGGGCTCGTGAAGTGGAGCCATGATATGACGCGTAGCAACCCATTCGTCGCACAGCCTTTCGACGCCGCTCCAAACCGCGAACGGCAACGACAAGATGGGGGGCGTCTACATACGGCCACAACTTCGCAAAAAGCCAGCAACCGCCACAATACCAGACTTGGTATCAAAAATAGTCGCACGACCCTCAGTACACCGCGGCTGGAATCCGCGAGCAACAAGCCGGGAAACGCAAGAACGATCCGACGGGGACTCGTACACGATCCGGGAGATCTATAACTACTTCAGTGGAAGTGACTCTAAATGCCAAGATATACATGGCGCAACTCTGAATGCATCCGCGGAAAATCCGACCGGGTTGTCGTGGGTGCTGTTGTTCGCATGTGCGAATACAAGGTGGATTGAGGACGGGTTCATCTTCGCAAGGAGCAGTTTGGATCTTCTGCCGGCGATCATCTTACCTCACGAGATTGAACCGGTTACTACCGGCGCAGTGGTTAAGAAACAACTAAACGATCTGAATAAAAGCGGAGAGGCCATGTCACCAACGAACAGCGAAGCTACAAACGAAGGTCATGGCCAGAGTCCATCAGAGCAACCACAGAAGCTTGTCTCTACTAAGCCGTTACTAATCCAACCCAACGAGGGAGTGCCTGTTGCGCACCAACCTATCGCCATATTCTCTCAGTCTATCGGACCTGCTACGCGCTCTTTCAAATTCCTCGGTTGGTATAAGATAGGCCGACTACAGGTTTTCGAGCCTGGATCTAATGATCTATCCGACATGTTGACAAAAAGATGGGAGAGGGAGAGCAAGAATGGCACTATTAGCTCGAGATGGGGAGATCCGAAAGGATGGAAGGACAATTTGTCCTGTCAGTGGGCTGCTATCAAGATCGATGAAGATGAAGGGACTATGAGAAGCATGGGCGTACCGAAGATCAGAAGACCAATTGATCATGATGAAATGACAGGAAGAAGCGGAGGACCGACAGTCGACAAAATGTTTGGTGAGATGAAACTTGGAGACGGAAGCAAAGCGATAGAGCCCGGGGACAAGCAGACTTGACAACGATCAGTATAGACGGATCTCTGTCTAATCAGATGGTAGTGGATGACGTCGCACAACAGCGATATAATGATGGATGCAATAATGTCAACTTCTGATAGAAGCGATGCCACCAACCTTGCTATCTCTGATCAATACCAGAGGCCCTTCATGGCCTCTCCCATCGACATCATTTCAAACCTTGATGTGTTAGATATCTGTCCTCAAGTAATAGAAGAAGATAGAAAGGTGGCACGAGTGATGTTAAGCCGAATGAGGCAGCCGTGTCCAAAATGCGGAGGTCGACGCGCTCCGATTGGTAGTGTCGGAGAAGGCCGATGGTGGGGCTGCCGCGGGGTATCGTCACCACTTGTAATACTATTGCCGCCGGTGTCATTGCTTATCGGCAATTTTTGTTCTGTTTAATTCTGTGTCCTCATTTTGCGCGCATTGAGCTGCTCGAATCGTGAACGATCGAGTCATCGTCTACGTACTACAACCGTCCTCCCTCCCCGAAAGAACAGCGTCGATCCCCGACGCAGCACCCCACCAAACCCCCACCTTCCCCTGAACGCGACGAAATGAGCGAGTCAATCCCCAAAACGCAAACTGCAGGCTGGATCCAAGACCCCGGTCCGGATTGCGTCCTCCAAATTCGAAATGACGTCCAAGTCCAAACCCCTTCGGCCGGGGAACTCCTCGTAAAGCTTGAGTACAGCGGCATATGCCACAGCGACTGCCACAACCTCGTTTCGCCTGGGAAATACACCGAAGTACCCGGTCATGAGGGCGTGGGTACCGTGGTATCGCTAGGGCAGGGAGTGTCAGAAGGCTTGCTGGGAAAGAGAGTAGGCATAAAGTGGTTGTGGAACGCGTGCAAGGAGTGTAGTAGCTGCAAACAAGGCAAGGAGAACCATTGCGCCAAGCAGAAGAATACTGGAAGAAGTGTCTGGGGGACACTACAGCAGTATGTGGTTGCAGATGCGGAATTCGTCACTATGATCCCCGAAGGAGTCAAGAGTGAGATCGCAGCGCCACTCCTTTGCGCAGGTCTCAGTCTTGCAGGCGCCGTGTCAAAGCTCACACCTGAAGTTAATCCTGGCGACTTTGTGGCTATCATTGGTGCTGGAGGAGGCCTTGGACATATCGGTGTGCAGATTGCTACTATCAAGGGATACAAGGTCATTGCGATTGACAGTGGTGCCGAGAAAGAGAAGCTGACGAAGGAGATGGGCGCCGTGGCTTTCGTGGACTACGCCAAGCAAGATGTGTTGCAAGCCGTGCGAGATCTGACGGACGGAGAAGGCGCGCATGGTGTCATATGTGTTGCAGGCAGCGAAAGAGCGTATCTTCAAGCTCCGGCTTTGGCGAGGAACAGTGGCGTGTTTGTTTGTGTCGGGCTACCACCAGATACGTTCATGTTTCCTATGAGCCCGATCCATATCGCTAACAGAGGTACGTTCTTGCACACATATCGATTGAAACAAGACTCGTGCTAACAAATCCAGGGCTTGTCATCAGAGGATCCTCAACCGGTAGCGCCAAGCAGATGGACGAGTTGTTGCAAATGGCTCTGGAAGGCAAAATCACACCGAAGGTCGAAGTCTACGACTTTGCCGACTCTCCGAAGATTCTCCAGGAGTTGCAGCGCTACGAAGTTACGGGTAGGAAGGTGGTACGGGCACCGTAACAATGTGGCGAAGATTTCTGGAATGCAGTAGTTGAGCGCATGCATTAGGGTGGCGTTTCGCATGTGCATAGTGTGGCGTTGAAGCCGTGTATCGCGTGGAGTTCAGGGATGTGGGAGCATTGGTGCGATATATGGGGTCGAAGGCAGGTATGAAGCCCATATGGTGATGTGCAGGTTACTGAGCAGGGAGTAGATTATAGGGTATGTTTGAGCCGCGATGCGATACCCTTGTAGGAGGCCATGGTTGTAGGGGAGCTCAATTGTGATGATAGTATGATCATGAGCTCGCTAGAGCGCTATAGGGATCATTCTGACAACTCTGTGTCATCATAGACATTGAATCATTAAATGGATATCGACTAATACCAGTCTCCACTCTCTTCGTTTGCCTTCACGTCCATGGGGTTCATACTCATAATCCGCTGCCCGGGTATCGTGTCCGTGAACGCACTCTCAAACACACCACTAACAGCCCTTCGTCCAATCTCCTTGAAACTGTCGTATGCCTGGTTATCACCAGTGATAGCACTCCATTCAGGGTCCTCAGGGCTGCGCGCCGGGCCTAGATCACTCCAACGCGTTACAATGAGAGCTTGTTTGAAGCGCTCTGGGCCATTGCCTCTCACGCTCTTGTCCTCAACAAGTTTGAGTTCGAACAGGTATTCAGTTGGGCATCTGGGGCAGCGGCGCATCGGTCGGCATATGGAACAAAGATTGACCATGCCAACAGCCTTTTTTCCTAAGCTGCGTTCGCGAAATTTGTCAAGAGCGGTCGTTTCGGATTCGTGGGAATGGGGAATATGCGATAGTGCACATTTAGGTATTGAGGTCAATAGTCCATGTTTCCAATGTGCGCAGACGCTAAAGTAGGGCGTGTAGTCTCCACGGCTGAACAGAAGCATACGTTTTGCTGCATCCGTCATGCCACCTTCCACGTACTGTTGTGATCGGATGCGCATCAAAAGGTGACCTTTGTCGGTGATGTGATAGGTAGAGTCATGGCTCCAGGTTGAGTATGTGTCTTTCCAGCGGCGGCCTAGCGACTGATGAGGAATGCCGTAATCAGCGCCGTAGGCCCAATGGCGTCGGGCTAATTGAGCGAATGCGAAAGGTAATGTGCGACCATCGCTGATACGGAGCCTTGGTGGAGGAATGTGAACGTTGGTTCGGTTGGGGCACTCAAAGAGTGGATTGAGGACATTTGGAGGTTTCATTGTCTCCATACCAGGCTGAATACGCAGATGCCACTGTGCACATGGGAAACAGAAAAGATGGCGAGGCATCTTATGGTCCATTGAGAGTAGAAAGTCGAGCCTTTGCGGCCGATGAAGCGGATCCAAGAGTAGTTTGTATGGATGCCTACCTAGTCGAGCGTACATGGTCCGGCATGTAGAGGATAGATTGGCAACGTCGAGTGGTGATAGGAAGTCGGCAACTTGAAGCCATACTTCAGGCGATGCGCTGCCGAGTATCGCTGTTCCGTCGGGCTTCGTAGGATCATAGAGTATTGATACATCATCCCGTTCTTCCTCGATAGTATCGACACCATCAATGTATGTAAAAGCATGCATCATGTCTGTCAAGTCTTTTCTTTCTCCGGTATCTTTGTCGAGAATGTCGTCGGCCCTGACAGGCTTTGAAGGTGCTCGATGAGACTTGCTCAGCTTTGAAGGCTGCGATCTCGATGGCGCGTATGGTAAAACTTGCCCATTGCCAGATTGCGGGATTGATGCTGATCTCGAGCTATACGATTGATACAAAGGTGCAGCATACTGTGGCTGTCCTTCTGAGTTGCGACGGTAATCGGCCGCTGGTTGCCCAGGCTGTAGATAGGCGTTGTTTGTGTCCATGAGAGCATTAACAGCAGCATATGGATGGTCACGCAACGCATGCGGCGCGAGGCCAGTGATATTTCCATTGGTAGGTAAGCCAAACCCGTTGTCTGAAAGATCGGTTCTCTCGTTCGTGAAGCTGCCAGAGTCTTGGCGGTTGGGGTTCGCCACATTGGTGGTCGAGTCAAGCTTTCCGAGCATATCGCTTCGTGATCCTTTCTTGGAAAGTTTCTTCCGCGTAGCCGGCTCTTTTGGTTGTTTCCCTGATCGCATGCCAAACACGGCGCGTAAGCCGCCTTTCTTGGTTTCTCGTTCCGCCATAGTGGAGACAGCTGCAGCTAGTTGTGGAGGTGATTAGGGGTTGTCGCCGAGCTCAAGACGGGGATGAGGGTTGGTCAATACAGATGATGGACGGTATGATGTGCGCAGGTGGTACTGATACGGTTCCCTAGAGAAATGGTTTGTCGAGAGATGTTTATCGAAATTGCAGCAGGGTGGATGATCATCGTCATAGCGTGGCGGCTCGTTTCGGCAGAGGATCCGTACTCATCCGCTCAATTCGTCCACTAGTGAGCTCAGTCTGTGGGTACGCATGTCGTCATGAGTGAAGTGTGCATTCCGATGAGTTGCATTCCAGGCTGCTTAAAGTTCACGTTGTCAGAGCTGGCAGTGCGCGATGGGATTGTGGGCACGCGTAAGGTGCGCGACATGCATTGACCATCTGACGTAATCCGCCAGAAGTTTGCCGATCCCCTTTAGTCCCCACCAAACCCAACCTCCTCGTTAATCAAGAACATTATGCGCCTTTCACCCGACTACAGCCCGGTCTGGTTTTGCGCATTATGTGCAGGAATTTTGCACTTCTCAGTGAGGGGAAATGGGAATTTGGATCACTAAAGCACGTTCCTAAATGGCGCACATGGAGAACCACTTGATTAGATTCCACGAATTGGCGGATTCTAGACGTTCAAAGCACATGAGCATATAGAGCATCTACACATGGCGAACTGGGCATCGCAAAAGACCCGATCAGGAGCGCGACAGAACTGCCCCTCCAGATATACTCTCTCTTGTCCACAGCGATAACCATTGCCAACCACGCCTGTCACCTTTTCTTGCCAATTCTCTATACGTCGAACAAACCGGCCCGGGCAATCCGAAACCACGTTCCCGTGCGAAGATATTAGTCGATACCGAGCTTGGAGATAGCTGCCTGAAGCTCATCTTCCTGAAGCCTATCGCCCGCGGGCTGTGTTGTTGGGCATCGCACGATTCTACCCAGGTCTCCTCGGCGAAGGACCTCGATGGCATGGCGATCCTGTACTGACTGCACACATCTGTGGATACTGAGCTCATGTCGTAGAGCCATCAATCGATCACATTGATTAGTGTCAGCCATAACTTCAAGCGCCGGTGCAACAGGACGGATAAAGCCGACCACTATCTGCAAGTTCTTATGCAAGAACAGATGCTCTGACTGCATTATGACCTCTATCATGTCGAGTGTAATGGTCTGTACCCAGGCTGGAGCGTCAATCCTCATGGCCTCGGAGATGCTCTTGAGCAATCGTTCGATAGTCGGCAATTCCCAATTCGGTGTTGTGGTAAACAGCTTCCAGCTAGTTTTGATTTCCTGCTCAAGCTGCTCAAGCGGAATGAGGCTGAATCGACCCTGGTTATATACATAATCGAACTCAATAGAGTCTGTATCTTCAGCCGCAACAGGGTCCACGTGCTCGACCGCAGTAGACTCTGTTTGCTTCCGGTAAAGATCAGACCTTCCCAATTCGTTACACATGAGCTCCAGTTCGGCCTTCGCCTCCTCCGTCCTTTCATAGTCTTCCCACTCCAAAGCCTGTAGAATATTGGTGACGCGACTGGATTTCGAGCTCCCATCTGCGGTGTCAAGCAGAGGGATAACCTTGTATGCGAACGTAGAGAAGGCGTCATAGTTGTTGTGGAAAGGCAGATACGGAGACGTGGCCATCTTCTCCAATAAACCGCAACCCAGGTTCTTCGCTATCGCCAATCCACGTTGTCCGATCGGAAAGGCTCTGAGAAGGCAGAGCGAGAACTCCAGTACGTTGACAGATTGAGATCCCCATTTTGACTCGGCGGCGAACTGGCCGGCAACGTCGAGAATGTACTTGCCGGCGATGTCGGCACCCATGCTACTTTTATCGCTGAAGACTTCGAGCTCCAGATTTGGATCGATTGCGATGAATAGTGCACTAGTGCCGTCTAACTAGCCGTGAAATTACTGCATCATGGCTGAGATATTACCTGTAGAACTTTATGCCTATTGCTACGACCCAGCTCAATCGACTCGCAATCTCGGCGTTGACGACTTCGACGAGTCTGTTAAGCTTCAGCAGATCTCTACCGACAAGTGCAAGAAGCAGCTCGACCTTGGCTCGTATTGTGCCGTACGGGGTCTGACCATCGATGGAGGCAACGACATCGCGGACAAGCTCAATGAAGTCGAATTGCTCTTGGTATACGTCGTTTAAAAGCAACGCAGATACGTCTTCAAGTGTCAATGGAGCTGCAGCCATCTTGTTGTAATGTTTGAACGCGCGTGAGACCGGTAACATGTGAGAGAGAATTCTACGCGTCGAGGTGGTGAGACACGACACCATGGGCAGGAGCAAACGCTGAAGGCTTGGCGTTGGGCGCAGGGCCGGGCATATTGGCGGCGAAGGTGCGGCTACAATAGTGACACTTGATAGCAGTGTATTGGCATATGAGAAAAATTGCAGAAGCAACCTATCCGATGTTTTCTTAGTACAAGACGCTATTCCTGTCCGCCAACCTTGTGTGATAGTCAAGTCTTCCACACTTTGCGTCGTGTCAGATCTTTTCTTTCACATGACCCAGTGGTTCTTCCTCAACGCTATCAGTCCTGTGACCTTGATCTTGGACATCAGATCCTCGTCCGCCTTCTCTGTGCGCTCCCGTACCTTCTCCAAAACCCGTGTAAGCTCCGTTTCAGTAGACGGATTCTCATCCAGACCAAGCGCAACGAAGTCCACGTATTCGATGAAGAGATCGACGTTGTTGTTGTCGAATAGATGCTCTGCATTTGCCATCATGTCCAAAATCCAAATGTTTGTCTTTTGCGACATGGAAAGAGGCGATGATGTTGCGTCGGCTAGTTCGGCCAGGAGCCACATGCGCGGTTGACTCCATTCGGCTTTCTGCATGTCGGCTTCGAAGTCGGATAGTACACGCTCGTAGATGTAGTGCTGGACGAGGCGCGCGCCAGAGCGTGTCGTGTCGTTGCCATTGGGTGGTACGTTGGGATCGGTAAGTGTTGCTGGGATGAGAAGGCAGAGCTGATTGAAGAGCCTCACTGCGACAAATACCCAGTTCTTGTCTTCCATAGCTCTCGCATAGACGATGTCGACCGTGCGATTTAGCTTGTCTGGCTTCGAGTCGATGTTCTCGGTCACCTCGCGCATGACGGCTTCGGCAGTCTCGTCTAAAACATGCACTGGGATGTTGAATATCAAGTGGACGACCGCCATGCGGAACATGTCCGAAAACACAATCGAAGGTGCGATGTTTATACCGCTCATGTCAAGACTCGCGAATGGCGGTATAGTTGGGTAGCGGATGTTGAAGGTTCAAGGTGCGGTTGGTGTAAGCAGGCAGCAAGTTTTGCATTGGAGACTCTTGAGGCCGCACAAGCCGCTTCTCCAGGGTCCGCTAACTACTGTGAACTGCAAACGCTTTCCTTCTTTCCGGAATAAATATGTCTTCAGCCTCTCGACCTCCACGTTGAGTTACGCGCAATCATATAGTCCTTGCTTTGAATGGCCTTCCAGATACCCCAAAATCCGCCTAACGGCCAGATGCCTCGCAGCCTCAACCCCATATCCTTGCTCGCCATACTCGTGTACTTTTCAATATCCACGTGCACTTTGTCATACACCTCAGGCAGCATCTCCGCGTTGTACTTCCTCCTCAACCCTTGGTGCCATTTGTGATCGAATTGTGCCCAAAAGTCATCTTTACTGTAGTAGGTCTGCGCATACAGCCACTTCATACCACCCATCTCGCCAAGCGTCTTCTCGAGCGCACGGTTCTTCTGCAAGTAGGTGACAGGGTCTTTAGGACCAAAACCCCAAAGACCAATATTGAGCATTTGGTCTGACTTCAGGGCGCCTTTGGTGTGAGGGTGCATAGTCGGTTGGGTGGTTTGCTTCAACGGGCAGAGCCAAAGAGGCCAGATACCGAACGCATTGTCGGTATAGTCGATGAACTTCTCGGCGTTAGGGTAGGGTAAGGCCATGTCTTGGACGATATAGCGTGTCGCAATCCCGGACGCATGAAGAGCTCGGTAAAGCATGCGCGTATGAAGGAAGTCGTCCAGGAACCAGCGAGTGTACTTGTTGAAGGGAAAGCGCATGTAGCTGAAAGCGGACCGACCGACCCAGAAGCCACCACGATCGTAGCGGAACATATACTCAGCTAGAGGGATGTACTCCACGACTGGCTTGGTAGAGTTTCGCGTTGCGGCTTCAACATGCAGATAGAACCATGGGTCCCAGGGGTTACTGAAGGTCTGCGGCTTGGTGTTTGGTGGTAGATCATCGGTCATCTCGCCTGTGATGATCGCACCATGTTCCTTGTTGAACAAGACGCCGTCGACATAGTCGTTCCTCTCGCCTTTTTCACCACGTGTATGATCTTCGACGTCCTTGACAGCTTGAGCAACGCTACGTGTAGGATAGTATGTTGTCTTGACATATTTCTTGGCCTCGATGAGCTTCAGATCGACAAGCGTAGTAACCCCCAAGGTACCGACAGCGCCGGCAGCCCCTCTGAACAGGTCCTCATTCTTCGTCTCGCTAGCTTTGACGACCTCACCGTCGGCCATGACCATCTCTACCTCATTGATAGTGCGATCGAAGAACCCAAATTTAAAGCTACTGCTCTCGCCAGCTGTTCCTGCATACCCTCCACCAACGGTGATACCAGGAAACTCCATAACGACTGGTGGCACAAGACCATGCGGCAGCGTAGCTTCTACAAGCCGATCCATAGGTACGTTTGGCTCGACAAGAGCTGTTTTGCTTTCCGTATCAACGCGTATGACATTCCGAAGAGCGCTGATATCCACGACATGCTTCTTAAGATTCGGACGCGTGCTGTTTGTCGAGCCGTGAGATATCCGGAAGGGTTCTTTGCGCGTAAAGTAGTCTTTGACTTTTGACGCGACTTGCGCAACGACACGCTGATGGCGATCCATCTTTGGGAGAGAAAAAAGAAACGAGAACGCCTGGAAATGCCAATGCTATTGATACATAATGTGAACTTTCGATTTGTGGTTGAGGGTGCGCGACTGCCGGCGGAAGTCGGTACAGACGCAGATTTTGTCCGATGCGCTAAACTTCACTCATCTGGCTAGCGCTCCTTGAACATCTTCCCCCCTGATCACATCACTTATATTACTCACGTCTTGTCACTCTTACGATATCATTTGCATTCCATACGTATCGCACTTGTGCTAGCTGTATTCAAGCGTTGCTCGCTATCACGATCTGATGAACTCACGGCATTACCTAGAGAGCCTCGACATACGGCCGGTCTATGACCTCATGATATTTTTGGAAAAGAAAGGCGAGAAGTGTTCTACGTAAGGGAGCAAACGAACGGGCGTGGAGCTGACACAATGGAACTCCTCCCCGCGATAATGTATAGCCCGCCATGGCTGTATTACCGTCGCGGCGGCTCCATAGACTGGGGACACATGCTTCCTAAAATGGGTTAGACCGTTCCCATGCGAACTTATCGCATATGCCCTTAGTGCTAACAACAAGTCATATCGCGCGTCAAAACGTCCCTCCGTATTCATCACCGCCATTGCGTCTGATTGCCAAGATGACTCCTCTTTCCGGCCTTCACTTCTTATCATCTGCCGCGATGTTTGCTCCCTGCAGAGGTTACATCGGCCTTGCAGAAGCGGGGCGAGTAACCTGACAGCGGCCAAGACATGACATCTTAATGTTGCGATTCATCCCACGACACTGGACTGACTGCGCTATCTCTTGTATTGCCTCGTAGCGACAATGTTGTTTTTGGTGTTGTCGCAGTTGACCGGCCTGGTCAACGCGCTGCAGCCTCTGCCCCCAGTTTCACCAAGTTACAGCAAGAGCGATGACCTCGGCTTCTCTATCGGCACGGATGCAAGGAAGATATATATCGACAGAAGCTTTGCCGAAAAGAGAGACTCGGAAGGTCTCACGCTTATACCGCCAACTGCTCATGAGTTTGCTGAAACATTCCGCACCGACATCTCATCGCTCTTTGGTGGTTCCTGGACTCTGGAGCAAGTAGACGACTTTCCACCCACTGGTATCCATATCGGCCCGATCCGAGATACCGATATCTCATTAACATACGAGAATGGCCACCCTACAGAAGAAGGATACGAGCTTGAGGTCGCCAATGGCACCATATACATAGGCGGAGCAGGTGCTAGAGGCATGTTCTGGGGAACGCGTACCCTATTGCAGAAGCTCTTGATTGACGACGGCTCTCTCATGACGGATTGGATAGTTGATGCGCCTGCGTACAGCACACGGGGATTCATGCTCGACGCAGGCCGTAAATGGTACGAGAAGGACTTCCTCAAAGAGCTCTGCACGTATGCCTCTTTCTTCAAGATATCAGAGTTCCACTATCACTCTAGCGACAACTATCCCTTGAACCGTGGCCGCAATGAGACGTGGCAGGATGTATTCTCGCATTTTTCGCTGTATCCAGAAGAGAATGTAGAACTGCAGGGTATCATCCAGCGCCCAAACGAGACCCTTTCACGCGCCGACTTCGAAGACTTCCAACAGCACTGTGCACAACGTGGTGTCACCGTCATTCCCGAGATCGAAGCCCCAGGCCATGCTCTAGCGATTACGAAATGGAAGCCTGAGCTAGCACTAGCAAAGGAGGACCTCCTCAACCTGAGTCATCCGGACGCAATCCCGACAGTCAAAGCAATCTGGTCAGAGTTTCTCCCATGGTTTCAGACGAAGGAGATACACATTGGTGCTGATGAATACGATTCCGATCTGGCAGACGACTACATCAATTTCGTAAACGAGATGGCCGACTTCATCAACAGTACTTCTGGTAAACGCGTACGTATCTGGGGTACTTACGAGCCATCCGAGAATCTCACCATCTCGAAAGACATCATAGTACAGCACTGGCAGTACGGCCAATCAGACCCTCTCGAGCTCCAGAACGATGGATACGACATGATCAACTCCGAGGATTGGTGGGCATACATGAGTCTTAAAAACGACCATATGCCCATCCTCCCGGCACCGTATCCGCAGTTCTATAACGTCACCCGCACGATGAACTTTGCCAACGTACCAGGATGGCAGTGGGAACCATCTCTTTACAACCCAGTCAACATCACAGAGCAGGTCGAGCCTCGTGCTAGCGGTAACAGAGGCGCTATTCTTGCTGCTTGGAACGACAATGGTCCGGATGCGACTACGCAGCTGGAAGCATACTATGCGATGCGAGAGGGTATGCCAGTCATGGCGGCGGGTGCGTGGGCGGGTGCGCGAGGTGCAAAGATTGTCCCAGAGGAGTTGGCGGACAGTATCGCGGTCTTGGTATGTTTAGGCGAAATGAGAGATCAACACATGTTGATCTAGCGGCTAACGAGAATTTTGGTAGGCAACAAAAGCTCCCGGACAAAATCTAGATCGTCGTTTCACGATCGCTGAATCAGATCCACAGAGCTCAGCGCTGATATCGTGGACACGGAACTCTTCCAGTAACAGCAACACGACATTGGGTATGGGCACGTATGGACCACCGTACACCCTGACCCTGAACGTATCTTCATCCTTCACCTTGCCAGGCCCTGATACCTCACTTTCTCTTGTTGATCTTCCAAACAACTCCAGTGGTAGCACCACAACACTAATGTTCACCACGGCCGATGGCTTCGAGTATCCCCTACGTTCCGTGTCTTCTGTTGATGGCCACGATACTGGACATCCGGGTCGCATATGGACTAACCAGACAACATCTTCCCATGATCCAGTACCGATCAGGCTGCCAGCAAATTTGCGCATTGAGACCGACATAATTAGCGGTAGTCGCGTCTGGGTGAATGATACATTCGCGGGCCGGTTTGAAGTGTTCGTATTTGGGGGCCGGAATACGCTGTTTAGCTGGAGTCAAATGGCGCTTGTTGCGCCGCTAGACGTGGTAGAGGGTGGTGTTGATAGTCTGATGCTTCAGACTGGTGTTGTGCTAGGTGCGTCATAAGAGGATGTAATGCAGCTGACGCGATATAGAAGGTGCTGACACTATACATGATGTAATGAGACTGGGATAGACAGGCTTGATGAGCTTTGAACGCTCAAACCAAGATAAATCATCTAGAGTAATCCGAGCATGTTCTCTGAATGCATGTAGGAAGTTGCAACCACACGGCAGTCTTCAAGTAGTATTTCAGTACATACCGAACTCATGACATTGCTCCGAACCTCAATACGTCGCTGTTAACCGTCCAATGATATAATCCCCACTCATGACATCTTCGTAATTCCTGCCCTTCTCATATGTGCCTGGTATAGCCTCAATCTTGCGATCGTAATTCGGGTTGCAGAAGTAGGCTATCGAGTATCGTGGTGGGTATTCATCCTTGTCAGCATCCTCCGGCTTTGGCGGTGGCTCCATGACGCGGTGCTTTGTTGACTTGATCGTGTCGTTTGACCAGCGGGCTAACAGATCGCCGGCGTTGACGACAATAGTGTCTTCGATAGGGGTAGCGTTGACGAAAGTGCCCTTCGGGGAGCGGACCTGAAGACCGCCACGGGCGTCTTGGAAGAGGAGCGTTATAGAGCCTGTCGCCGTGTCAGTCAGATTCTACTACCGAATTGCGACGACCGCCATACCGTAATCGCTATGCTCTCCTGCGCGCACCTGCTCTTGTCCATCGTTCCTCTTGAATATGCTCTTCGACACGCCCGGGTAGTGCAGCAACCTCAGCGTGTTGTCGCCCGCATCCGTGAAGCCATCGAACCACTTCTCATCGATGCCCATGCCCAGCGCAATAGCACGCATGACCTGCATGTGAAGGTCCTTGCATGTCTCGAAGAAGCCCATCATCTGCTCCTTGAACTGCTTCGCCTCGTCGTCCCCACTCGGCCACATGTTTGGCATCTCAGGCTGGTCGTCGCGTCCGATCTCCATGCTCTCCTTCAGATCTGGCACCAAGGCGCGCATCTCCGCTTCTGTGCCCGTTTCTTCCAATACTACCAGCTTCTCCCGCCCTTGTGTGACATAGCCGCGGTTGGCGGCTGCCGAGTACCATGCCAACTTGTCTTTTTGCTCTTTTGGCCGGGCGAAGAATTTGGCGGAGTGTGAGAAGACGGTCGATACGGTCGAGGGGGATATGCCGTGGTTCTTTAGGTAGATGAAGCCGGCGTTCTGGAAGCCTTTGAGGACGGCGTCGGCGGTTTGCTTCTTCGCATTGGCGTCGCCTGAGAGGAACACCGAGAAGTCGATGAGCTAAGCATTATCAGGTGCTGGTCGGAAAGCATGAATGTATACAAGGTACCGGAATCTCCAGATCATCCTGCGAGACGGCTGATGTGATGTTGGCCATGTCGTCACTCCTTGTCGCGTTGCTTTGGGTCGAGCTCGGTAGGAGGTGCAGAAGTACAGCTGCTAGAAAGACACACTCGCGCGATGGAAAGAGAGACTTCAAGATCAGGCGATTTACGCGTCAGCGGCCATCTCCGCCGTAGTTCAGCCATGATGGGACAGCTCGGTGTTGTAGGCGGGGTTGTTGCCGAACAGAGAAGGTGTACACGAGCGCGATAAGGCTAATGGTGGGGTCGCTTGGCTGGAACCTCAACACCACGCCCACATCGTGACATCCATCTCCGCCTATCATACAGCCGTCTCAACGACATCGAGCTCAACATGTCTCAAAACGTCTCGTCACAACTCGAGCTGTGTTAATCTCCAGTTGGCTGGTGGGTCTGAGACGATCGCTTTTTCGCTGGGATCCGTCATGATCATTTTTGACATCGATTGACTACCATGTCACAGAACTTTTGTTGCTCGATCGTGGAGAACACTTGTCACATGACTTGCATAGGATATCGGCAAGATAACAGAAGCGATACTCACTTACCTAGATCGAAGCAAGATATTCAAACGACTGCAAGCATGTTCTAGGTTACGGAGGGAGCACAACAGCTTTGCTTGAAGCTTACAAAAGAATCTTGACGGACACATGAACACATTAAGAGGCAAAATGATGAACGCATGGCAGGATACGGTTTCCATTCGCTCGGTGACAAGTACGCGAATTCATCAACGTCTTGCGATAGTATCTGGATTTCCTGTGTCTACTTTTCCGTATTACGCAGTCAATAAGCATCGTACACAGTTTGTAAAGAAGACGCGGTCACTCCGCTTTTCCAGCGAGTTTTGAGGTGTTGCTCTAGAAGTGAAGCTATACCCTCATCTGGTATTGCCCGCCCATCTCCTTCACTGACGTGTCCGTAACGAGCTAGATCTGCCAAGTAGCGCACTGGATCAATATCATCGGGCTTTGCGCTCTGGCAGTAGCTTCTGCAAACGCTACTACAGCCATCGCCATCTATCTTTTCGCCTGACCCTACACGCTACCGTCTCCCGCAATCCACGATGTCTTCTACCGACCCTGGCAACACGTATACCGAGGGCCAACATAGCGCAGATACCCCCGACCTCCCAAGTTTTGGTCCGCCCATAGCGAGGGAGCTTCGTAAGCAGCTCGAAGCACAAGTTTCAGAGAAAGACAAGCAATAACTCGTCTTCGCTGACGAGCTCGCCAAAATCGAACAAGACTTCCAAGCTGCGCTCGCGAATAACGCCGATCCCTCCACTGTCCGTCACTGTGAGGAACTCAAGCAAGCGCATACGGCACTTGACGAGCAATGTATCAGAGAGTTAGCCGAGCTTATGCAACAATGCCTCAGCGCGCGCCAAGGAGCGATGGCTTATCTCGAGAAGAATACCCAGAGACTAGAGGCTAAAGTCCAGACACTGGAGGCAAGAATTCAGGAAGCAAAGAAGAGGAAGGAGGAAAGGGCAAAATTTGAGAAGGAAAACAAGAGGAGAAGGTGGTGGATGAGCCTGCCATTTGAGGAGAGGAAACGGAAACTTCGAGCGTCGCAAAGGGAAAACATCGTTCTGAGGGTTGAGTCTGAAGCTTTGAAGATCGAAGTCAAGGCCCTGGAAGCCAGAAAGAAGGCTAGGATTGCTCATGTTGCACGGTGGGACGGGATGTTCGGATGGAACAAGGAAGCTCGCTTGAGGCTCGGAATTTACAAGATGCTTGGAAACCTTGGGATGCGTTACTGAAATGACCTTGCTCTTCTGAGCACTATCTAAGTAGAGGAGGCTTGAGCGATGCGGGTCTTCATATAGATCAAAATGAGTGCAGTACACTGTGCGAGGATAGGTCATATGGAGGAATAGGTGTTGATATGACGTCAATTGTTTGAGAGATGTCCAAAAGCGTGTCTTGTGCGCCGTAAAGATCGGTCTAGACACCGTCTACATTGTGTAATATCAGTACGCTTCCATGCAGTACGCAATGATCATACCTTTCCTTCGCCCCAAGACATGTCTACTGAAGCCTCTTCCTCAACTCCGCGCGTAAAGCGCGGATATCAATGAAAAGGTGGGCCGTGAGTGAACCCAATAGTCGGTCCCATGCTACTTATCTTCCTTTCAAGTTCTTGCCCTATTGGTAAAAGGGTGATCGAGAAAGGTAAGCAAGGCATCAGTCCAACCCTCACGCATCTAGAGAAGGCTGTTACACACGTACACGCAACCCGAAGGCCAGGCGCTCCTACTAGAAGCCACTCAGACGCCGGGCAAGCCCGAAATCTGATAAGTATTTCGTCCAGGGTCGAGCACGTCACAGAAGTGATGTGACTCTAAGCAACGAGGGGATCTGACTACTGCGCCGGACGGTCGCGATCATCATCAGCTCTTCGTTCTCATACCGTGCGCAGGTCCATACAAGTAACGAAGAGGCGCACCAGGTGTTCTGGCAGTGCTCGAATGCGCTTGTATTGGTCTGTGTACTGGGTGAGTGGTGTCTTGTCGAAATCCGTTTTCACATCGGTCAACCAGGAGACTGTTTCTCCTAACTGGGCGTGTACACACAACCAAAGCTATGAAGAAGAAAAGAGGAAGGTGGGGAGGGGACGGCAGGACTTTATACCTCTAGAGACACGCTAGCTGAAACTCACGTGACGCATAGAATTTTGCGCTGGGGCCTGGAAGGTGACGGAATTGGTGGTGAAGGTGAAGGTGAATGAGAGCTAGCCCCTCGATGGGTTAGTGTCAGTGCCCACGCACGTCAGACTCTACGAACGCACAAGATAGCCGACCAGTAAACATAGGTATCAATCCCCAGTTTACCACCTACCGAGCCGACGACTGGTCCCCTTGCATCAGCGATACGCGACAGCATACTCAAAGAGACCGATAGGTGTCCGCCACGTCCAGCCCACCATGGTCGCAACACGAGAGCAAGCCCTCAAGAAGGAGCTGCGCGACAGCAACCGGGCGCTTGAGAAGGAGAAAGAAGCGCACACTGCAACCGTACAAGAATTAGGCAGGACAAGGTTGATTCTGCAGGACGTGAAGCGCATGCACAAGGCAGAAAGATCTGATCTGAAGCTCATGACCTTGAAATGCACGTTCATGGAACAAGACGCGGGAGGCAATGAAGAGAGTGGAGCGGTACACACCGACGACAAAGATCTACGAGGCATGTTACCTGATACGCCAGTCCATCCCCCAGAAAAGTACGGGTCGCGTTCAGTTCCTCCTCCGAGAGCCTTCAACCGCTCACTTCCGACACATTTCGGTTCCGACAATCACCTTGACGAACGTTCAGAGCGTTTGGGAGACAATAGTATTGCCAGTACTACCCGTGGTACGAAGCGAACTGTCGATGAAATGAAGTAAGTGTTCGACGACATATCACAACGCGCCCACAATAATCCCGCTACAGCTCAAACATTCCCAACGATACTCCATCAGCGCCAAAGGCCGTTTCGGGTCCCGTAGTCATATGTATCAGATGCTATCAACAGAAACTTCGCTGCGATCCTGGAGAGCCCTGCCAGAATTGCGCCACCGCTGTACACGCGTGTAAGAGAGCCAAGTGCAACGACTATGAGCCGGGAATTTGTAAGCGGGCCAGTTGTTTGAGAGCACATCGAAAAGATGAGGAGATATACAAGAACATCGTTCGCGCTGGACATGTCCCGAGAACCGACCCTTCGAAGCCAAGGATACCTAAAGCGAAGAAGCAGCGGAAGAGCGACGACGATGATGACAAGGATGAGCCGGGGAATGGTGGCAGCAGGATCCGTGTTGGTCCTTTAGCGTAGTACGTGAGGACGAAGAATTGGAAACGAGCATCGAGAAGGGACCGGTGTTGCATTTTGTATGTTTTCATTCCATCTACATAAAATTCATGTCCCTTTTCCTCCTACCTCGCATCAACGCTGCCACGTTCGTGAACTCCCGGATAGGTCTGGCGTCTACAAGAAACCCTCAAGCTGCAGAGTAGGTAGCGACGCGCTCATGTAGTTCTATGAATAAGTTGTCAGTCGGCTGTGCGTTGGAGATTTTTGGTGATGTGTATCTCAAGTCCTGCCATCCTACTCCTTTTGCCGCAGTACCAAAGAGATGTCGTCGGCAAGGGCACCCGCAGGACGAGCGATCTTGGCCTTGTGCTTGGTGACCCTGCCCGATGCGACACCATGCTCCTGCTTCTGACGAGCCTCGCGCTCTCGGTTCAAAGCGCCCTTGTAATCGTCTCGCTCATCTTTCAACACCCGATTGTCCTCACTCAACACCTTGTTGTCTTCACACAACTGCGTGTTCTCCCAGACCAGGTGCTTCGTCTTCTCCCAAACCTGGTGCTGAACATCCATCTGGGCTACCACAAGACCATATTTAGCCCTATTAGCCTCGCTCTTGAACTGTTGCGCCTTTTCCAGCGCTTGAATCTTGGTGTGGTAATTATCGCCGTCGTCGCCGTTGTCCTGGATCTTCTCGTAGTAACCAGACGGGACGATCGTGGCGTCCACGTCGTCCTCGTCGATCTCTGCGCCCCTCGACTTCAAATCCTCATTCTCGTCCTTGACATCTCGGAGCTCACGTCTGAGATCCTCATTGTCGTCTCTCTCTTCATTGAGCTCCAGCGCCATGTCGGCAATCCGCTGAGAGAGGGCTATGATGAGGCCTTCCGGTGTGCCCGACAAATCCATCTGGGAGGAAGAAGAAGCCATGGTGGATCTGGCTCGTGGCGTGAGAGTCGTGGTGGGGAGGTAGGCGTCGGGGTGTGTGTTGGGAAGGGTGTGCGGAACTGGTCGGGGTGTTGAATTCGCGTATAGGTACTGTGAGATTGAAGATGAGTACGGTGGGGAGAGAGGAGAGTCGGTTGAAATTGTGCTACTTTGAGAAAGTGGGAGCGCGTTGTTGATTATAGTCAGTGCATCTTTTCGCAATAACTTGCGACGTCACTCAGGTAAACCAAACGGGCTTGTCAGCAAATGAGACCACTATACGGAGAGGAGAGACGAATCAAACTCTCAGATGCACCGACTCCTGACCGTCCGCTTTATTACCTACGCCTCTGTTTGTTCCACTGACACCGATGGTAATCTGCTCACGCGCTGCTCGAGCCGTGATCAGTTGTCCAGAAACGACGATGTCGAATTTGACTTGACCTCGAACTTGACCTGAACAAGCCGTCACGGCGGCCTATTGGTATGTCGGGCTTAACCACGAAGTGATACCTCAGATGGGTATGGAGCTGTAACCAATCATGTACTGTACCAAGCGATTATAGAGCGCGTCTGATAGCCGTCACGTAACTATCTCTCTCATCCATCTCTGCTTAACTCCGAGCTTATGAGGCGCAGCTTCCTCAACACCGCCATCTCAAAACATGCGGGCCTATCCAGCACTACCGACAGCTCAATATGTCGTGTTTGAAAAGCGCATGCCCACTGTTCGAGCTTCCGCAGGAGCTTCTCGAAAACGTACTCAGCTACTTTCCTCCGTCCCAAGACATCTCGAACCTTTCTCGAACCTGCAAAGTTCTGCACGCAAAGACTGTAGCGTACCTCTACAACAACATCAGCATGAGATGGCGATCCAATCAGCCAACTCGCCCACTGTCTGTTGGCAGTCCGCACGCGGTATAAGCTCTCCGTCTCAACTTTCTCCTGTAAGCAATCCTGGCGAATCCCGCCTACGCGCAATTGATCACGAGTCTCAGACTACACAGTACCCGGCTTAGGGCTTGTTGGTACTCGTGGTTTGGTGATTCACATAGACGGGAGCCTTTGGAGAAGCGGAAACCGGATGCTGCCCCATCTTGGACGAACGCGAAATAGCAACTGGCCCTGAATGCCGTACGGAATGCAGGGTTGGAGTGGTACCGTAGAGCACGTGGAGATGCTTTTTCAGTCAGCGCTTGCTCTTGGTATGAATCCGTCCTGATGTACGATATGGATGCTACCATAGGGCTGCTCGTGTGGATATGTCCAAATCTTGTATCACTCGATCTAGGGTTTCACATCGGCGATGACGTAGTGTACATTCCTGAGCTCTTGTGGAAGCTGTCCTCTGGTGGTGCTGAGTCACAAGCTCTAGGATGTCGCAAGCTTCGAAACATTCATCTCGGCCGTATGTACATCGCTGGTGAGGAGGAACTGCTGAGGGATAGGTGAAGTCAGGTCAGCTGTCTGCACCCACATCTAGATTGGAAGGGTATTGGGCTTTCTTCTGGTGTCCAAGCATTCAAAAGGTTGAAATGAATCTAATGGGCCAGATTGCTCATGCAGGTTTCCAGAAAGCGGTGTCTCTACCTGTCTGCTCAACGCTGATGACACTGAGACTTTACGAGTCGTCGGTAAAACCAGACACACTCGCGAAACTGCTGTCTTGTGCGCCTGCTTTGGAGAGATTGGACTACGAATATTGGGCTAGCGATCAGACGTTCAATTTCCTGGATTGTGGATCGCTCAGCGCCGCTCTGGACAGCGTTGTGAGCACCTTGGAACATCTAAGATTCTTCTGTCAAATGTGCTCTCCGGAATTCGACGTCCACGGAAAATGCCATTTCCGAGACTTTCCCGTTCTCTCATCCCTCCACCTCTCACCTGTCGTGATACTAGGCGGTAAGGCTTCCCTTGAGCCCCGAATTGAAGAAGCCATACCATCGAGCATGGAGGAGCTGTGCTTTGTCTGCGATGATCTTCTCCTGTTCTGGTGCTTGAAGGAATTGATCCCATTTCTAGACGACTTGTTTCAGGGCGATTGGAGAGCTAGAACGCCAAAGCTGCAACGCGTATACGCGACGGACAACGAGTATTGGCTGGATGAGTATGGAAAGGACTATATGCAGATTTTATGTGAACAGAATGGATTGTAAATAAGAACAGAGCGAGAAAGTGAAGCTTTCGTACCTACAACGCCAGGATTGTCGGAGTTTCCGACACGAGAAGTCCGAAGCCGAGACAATACGAAATGACCATGCGGCTGCAATCGGTGCGAAACGTTCCGCCGTCTACCGACATCCATGGGTCACGATGATGGCGATGATGTTCGTGCTGCATCGGGAGCTGGACCCTGAGATCGCGTATTATGGGATGACGTCTTCGATTAATGGCAGACGCGACGCGAGATCGTACAAAGACAATGGCATACCACGATTTCTTGCTGATCCTCATCCCACATCTACAATCCCATCTTGCTGCATCGCATTTGCACACGTGACCTTACACCCACCCGAACCTCTACCTTGAACTCCATCACACCCGTCAGCATGGGCAACACACAATCCACGGTGCGCTACCTTGCGCCGGCATCCTTCATCTACGACTTTGCTCTGCAACAATATGGCATCTTCTCGTCGCCCAACATGATGGATATCCACAACCGGAATCTTGCCGCCTTCAGCCCATACCCATACTTCATTGGCGCATTCTTCTTCCCACAACAAATCTTCCAGCTGGTCTGGCTGTGGAAGCTGTGGAAACAGGATGGCAATGCGCAAGAGTGTGCGATGATGAACAAGTTTGCTTGGGTTTACAGTCTGGGTAACTTTTGCATTGGAAGTACGTCTTGTCATTGAAGCACCATACGATACCACAGAATGAAGACTGACGTATGCGACAGCTTGGATGTTCTTCTGGAACTCGAATAACCTGGAGACATCGAATATCTTCGTCATCATCAACACGCTGGCACAAGTCGGTTACATCGCTACAGCGCTTGAGCCGCTCGACACACGCTCAACACCCAACCTCCTCACCCACATTGTCTCGAAGACATTCGCGGGTATTGGTGTACTGGACCTCCTTCACAACACATCCGCAGCCTACTTTGTAGGTGTAGAGCCCAGTTCGCTGGTGCAGGTGGCTACTGGCGTTGGTTTCGCTGCGGCGGCCAGCATGAGCGACTGGATCTTCGGCGGCTGCTTGGTATACGACCTCGTTGCGTTGACCGTTGGACAGGAGGGCAACTGGTCGAGGCTGCTAGGTGGATATGCGGCCATGACAGCGGGTATCGTGGCCTTCAGGAATTTCTTTTAGTAGGTCCACTCGGTCGTCGCATGCTGAGTCGTGCTGACGGATCGCAGTCCAAGGTGGAAGGCGCAGAAGGAGGGAAGGTACGCCAGGGTCGAGAATGGCGGTGACGTCGTCTAGATATTGGGGGTCGCAGGTCGCGATACCTACCTTGATGCGGACACATCAGTAATGTGCACGATGATTACTTCCTATAATGATAATTAAACTTCGTATCACACTGTGGACTTGGTAGCACCCCCAGTCTGGTTCGCTCTTCTTGATATGCAGGTTCCAGAAGCTCGAAACAGGACGATGCCTCAAGTTCAGCCTCGTCTGATGGTGGGTTTCTGTTACGTTTCGAGGCAGATCTTAGTGGAGTGTATTGACTGACGCTTGGAGGCCGAAGCGAAGGACCCATCCGATGGCGGAGAGGAGGGGCAGATAGGCATGCATCGTCACTACAGCTGGCGCGCTATAGGCTGACCCCATATTGAAGTTGATCCGATCTGAGATGTGCGTAGATCTGACGATACCAGATTGAAGCTGTGAGATCCAGCCGGTGTCTCTTCCGCGTGACGTGCCAGCCTGATGGTCGTCGCCAAGGCCCGCGAACGGCGGCAAGCAGCTCGGAGACATGTGCGCTAGCATGTATCGCGTGCCCACCCGTGCCCTCGAGATAAGCAACTCTTATCAATCACTCATAGCATCCCACCCGCCCAAGTCACACTGCTCCTGTCCTGGCAGGCCTAGCCGCAACGGATACCGCTTGGCCTAGCATCGGTCATGCGAGCCCGCCGGGGGATCCTCTAGCATGTGGAGATGCTTCCTTTTGGGAGCCTACGGTTGGCTGGGGTGGATGACTGTTGACGGCCGTGAGCTGCTGTATGTCTTCTGTCACACTGCTCTGACGTCTCGTGTCTTCTCTACTACTCTTCCTCTTCCATTGCCTGCATCCCGCGCTTCTCGTGGCTGTCACAGCCTCCATTTCTGCACGCCGAGTCTTATCAGCAACTGACCGGTTCAACGACGTCACAGCGCCGAGCTTTGGAACAGCGACTCGCACGCGTTGACTTATACATACCTCTCGAATCACGGTCGCTCAGCCTGTAATTTAATTCTGACACCGACGTTACGCGTGCATCGTATACGAGGTTGCATCCACGCCTCTGTGGCTGTACCAAGAGCCCGAATCAGCACCTGACCACCCAGCCTGCGCTACCAAAACACGAGAAAGAAGCAAGAAGCATCCGGGACCACGCGCGTTGGAGTTCCGGTTGACTCTCTACGGCAACCACAGTCCAGAAAGCTGCGTCGTTCCTTCCCATCGAACCCTCGAATTCGACCTATGGCACCATGCCTCCATACCTATCCCCCCTACACATAGCCAAGCCCTCGTTACCACCCACCTGCGAACCTGCGAACGAGTTTCTGTATCATCTGTCAGCGGCATTCCACACCTGCGTACCTACGAACCTCGCGCTCGTCTCGACATTGCTCGGCACATGCAGCATCATATCATGGCTATTCGCACAGCTACCACAAATATACAAGAACCATAAGCTGAAGTCAACATCAGGACTGAGCGCTTTCTTCTTGACGGAATGGCTCCTGGGTGATGTGACAAACCTGCTGGGCTGCTTGTTCACTGGACAGGCGTCATGGCAAGTCATAATCGCAGGCTACTACGTCTTCGTTGACTGTTGCTTGTGTGGTCAGTGGGTGTGGTACGAGCTGTTGCACCATGGAAGGCCGCTGAGGCCGATCTGGGGCCGATGGAGTAGCTCAGCTGGCAGCGGTTCTGGCGCCGGAGGCTCTGCCATGCATCAGGTTCTGGATGGGATGAGCATAGGCGGTACGAACAACGCGTCTAGCCCGCAAAAGTCACCGCAAGATTCAAGTGATAAGAAGAACATCACACAAGATAGCGCGGCCAAAGACGTACCGCGCTCGAACGCGAAGGAAACCTTTAGGATACCCAACTTTGCGCGCTCGCCCATGCCTACGAAAGAATCATGGCAAAGTACATCTCCGTCAGGCGCATCACCCAACCCCAAGGTGCGGATAGCAGCCTCGAGCTCACCTATGCCCTCGCCCAAAACCGTCCTATACATCACTCTCATGATTGCAGTACTCGCCAATCCCACTACCGCTACGCCGATAAGTCCCTTCGCTCCAGGCCTCGCCCGCGCTCGCAGCCTTTCCGCCTACACAACTACCGCGACCAGCTCGCCCAGTGCCTCGGAAACTGCCGGGAAAGTTTTCTCATGGATGAGTACGTTCCTATACCTCGGATCGCGCCTCCCCCAACTCTACATGAACCAAGTCCGCAAATCGACAGCCGGTCTGTCTCCCACCCTCTTCGCAGCAGCCTTCTTCGGCAACCTCTTCTACTCGACTTCCCTCCTTACGAACCCCTGCGCGTGGTACGACTATGCGCCAGGCGAAGGTTCTGGTTGGGTAGACCCCCAAGGTAGCGTGAGAGAAGACTGGGTCCTACGCGCCGCACCCTTCTTCTTCGGTGCAGCAGGCGTGCTCCTCATGGACGCAGCAGTCGGTCTGCAATTCTGGTGTTTCGGCGACGCCACACCCCGGGGCCGATCACCGACACCTCGCGACGACGAAGTCATCATCACGGTTGATGATCACGGTAAGCTGGTGCGCAGGAGTATGCATTGGCGCCGTGTAAGCGGGTGGATGAGAGGATGGGCTCCTGCTGTCAGTGTAGCTGCTACGCCGAATGTGAGCCGCGCGAATACGCCCATGGATTCTCCGAGGGATACGAGTCCGGCGAGTACAGCTGGAAGTAGTTCGAGCAAGAGCATCCCCATCAAGGGGAAGGGTAGCGCATTGGACGAGGCGAGAGCACTTCTGGGAACGAGTAGACATGCGAGTCCGAGGAGTTATGGTGCTGTGGGTAGTCCGAGGTAGTGGGAATTGTTGCATTTACGACATTGAATGGTATTCTTGAGTGCGTGGCATCTTGCATCTACGATGGGCGTTTGGGAACATTGGCACTATAGCCTATACATATTAGCTTACGAAATGATCGATACTCTTTTCATGAAATTAACCCTGCATTAAGAGTTACGTCTTATATCAACTACCGACCTAACATGCAATCTGCACAAACACACAAGAAAGACAATTGTTGTAATGTAGTAATACGCAGTTGCTCTTCCGCTGTTTCATAAAGGTTCCTATCTATCTACGATTGTCCAAAGAAAGCAACCAAGTCTAACCCGCCTCTGACTCTGGCAAGGGAAAAAAAGCACCAAAACGCCGAGCTCGACTAGTAACAAGAGCATGTGACCAGACCGAAAACCCGAAGAGCCGCCCTACTGCTGCGAGGTATCACACCCTTATACAAAACATGACGAGTAATCGTACAGAAGAAGCCGGGAGGTGTGTGTGGTGTACATTGGCAACGCCGTGGATAAGCGCTTGCCCTTCAGGAAGTCGAACTTTTAGGGAATCTCTAGAAAAGGATGGGAGGTAGTAACGCCAAGGAGGGAAAGGCGTTTAGACACGTGACACGTCGCGACCGAAGCACTTAGCCTTGGCCCAGTCGAGCATGACCAATATCCTGTTGCGGGTGCTAAAGCACATGCTGAGGTAGGCGGAGCGCCAGAAGATGTAGGTAATGGTACCGCCGGAAGCGATGTTGCCGGAGAACCACGAGATGTCGGCAACGGCCTTCTCGGAACCAATGTAGGCGAGCGAACCCTGGTGCGAGTACTCGAAGGGACCGATGGATTTGATCCTCCTCAGCCTCTGCTGCAGAGCCTTGATCTCGCCGAAGACCTTGTCACGGGCCTCCTTGCCTGGCGCCTTCTCCTGGGCGACAGAGAGCTCGGCAAGCTCACCCTCGATATCGGAGGTCTTGGCCATGTTGTTGAACATACGGGCCAGGAAAGCACCCTCCTGAGCAGCGACCTGGGCAGTGGGGGCGTAGTTGGCGACGGCGCAGTCACCGACGGCCCAGACGTTCTCGGTGCCCTTGACCACGAGGTACTCGTTTACGGCGAGACCGCGGCGGGAGTCCTTCTGTGCGGGGATCTGGTTGATAAGGTCCTTGACGATGGGTCGGAGAGCGTTACCGGTGGCCCAGACGAGAAGACCGTAGGGGATCTTCTCGAGCTGCTTCTTGCCATCGGGGCCAGTCGACTCAGCCTCGATGAACTTGGGTGTGACGTTCTTGACCATGGTCTTTGTGCGGATGGTGATGGTCTCCTCCTTGAAGGTCTTTTCGGTGTAGTCGATGAGCTGCTTGGAGAACATAGGAAGGACGTTGGGGAGGGCCTCGACGAGGGTGACGTGGAAGTTATCCTGGATCTCGGGAAGCCACTTCTTCAGATCGGAGTGGAAGAAGTCCTGGAGTTCACCAGCGAACTCGACACCGGTAGGACCACCTCCGACAACGACCATGTGTAGCAGGCGCTTCTTCTCCTCGTCAGACTGGTCCTTGAAGGTGGCAGTCTCGCAGCAGTCCATGATGCGGTTTCGGATGCGCTGGGCGTCGCCGACCTCCTTCAAGAAGAGACCGTTCTCCTTGACACCGGGAATACCTGTTCCATGTTAGCTGAATTCTGGTAAGCAGAGGCGAATGACGCACCGAAAGTGGCGTTCTCAGCACCAACACCAACGACGAGCATGTCAAAGGGCACCTCGGTCTGGGAGACGTCGCCCTTGATATCGGAGTCGTCGCTGATGTAGACGACCTTCTTCTCGTAGTCGATCTTGGTGGCCTCGGCTTCGTAGTATTTGACCTGGGCCTTCTTGTGGCGCAAGAAGTTGCGGATGGGCTCCATGATGGAGCGGTGCTCGATGGTGCCGACGGTGCATGAGGGCAGGAGAGGAGTGAAGAGGAAGTAGTTGCGCGGGGAGACGACGATGACATTGTAGTTTTCCGTGTCGAGCTTCTTCAGCAGGGAGACAGAGCCCCAGCCGGTACCTGTCGCGTGTCAGATGCATTCGATGCGTGCTGGGTCATTCGTCGCTACTCACCGAGGACGACGAGCGTCTTCTTGCTTGGGTCAGGCGGCGGCTGGTCGGCGGGGTTGCGAGTCTCGTAGATGCCGTATCCAACGTATCCCAGGCCGGCGATGGCGGAGAGGTACGTGAGGCGCCATGTCCAGCGCAGGAGGCGGAACCTCTTGGGCTTGGGCTTGGGCGCACCGCTCGACTGCTGGCGGACAGACTGGCGGAGGGCAATCTGGTACTGCGTGGGCCGGGGAGTCCATCGCGCTCTGTTGGCGATAAGCGACGGGCGCTGGGTGGTGAAGGTCCTGCGTCCAGCCAGCTGAACCTGCGAGAGCACATTGGCAGCGGCGAGCGGCCTCATATTGGGTGCCATTACAATGGTGGAAGCTGCAGGAGAGCTTCACGGAGTCAATGGCTGGGGGTGGGTGATAGGAAGGCGAACGAAGGGATGGTGAGGATGTCTCGTCGGTGCGCGGGAGTCAACTTTTTCTTAGCGATGACGAACACCCTACCAAGACGCCTCGCAGGGGTCTTTGCTTCTGCGCCGAAAGATAAGCCTTGTTCCAATTAAAGCCCGCCCTGCCCTGCCCACGCCCACACGCGAATTATTTCGAGCGCCAGGACATGTACCATTAGTTCTCGAGGCCGATCACCCGCTACTCCCACGCTTTCGTTGGGATTGTGCTGATGCTGTTGTGGCTGCACCCAAATCTTCACCTCCACGCCCAGTCATACACATCACCACATTCGAGCACAAAATGCCTCATTGCATTCTCAATCCCTTTTGCCCATATTGCTCAGCTCAACAAGTTAGGGCCTCGCCGTCTCTCGGCTCGGCACCGACTCCGGTGGCCAGCCATGTACACGCACTTTTGCAGTGAGCACCCGCACCCGGTACCGCGGAGGCACACATGGTGGCTTCAAGTGCCTTTTAGCCGAGCCGCATGTCCCTGAACCTTCATACTGGACCCGTAGACCGACGGAATTCCTAGTTTTGCGGACCCGCCTGCCCATGGTCGTGGTAAATAGTCATCATCCTATATCGCCCGAAACAACACGCGCCACCCGTGCACCCTATGGATGACTCAGATACGTGACCTTGGCAGGATGCGAAACAAAGGACGTCTAAATTCGTGTCATGAGTTTTGACATCTGAAAGCCTGACATGAACGTCCGTTCTGCCTCACAAAATATCGAGTGCTGCCCGGGCTGCTCGTGGACTTGGCAGGAGCTATTTCCCCAGCATGAAGCTTCACTAAATCATCTCGAGATTCTAGTGCTTCGTTCCGCATGCGGATATCTATAGTATGCACTTAGCTGCATGCTCTAACCATCGTTTCGCTATTGAGCTATACCGACCCTACACACCAGTGAGTGTAGTCCATGCTGAGTACGCTGATCTTATCATTTGTAACAAAACATGCCATTACTATAGACCTTGGGACCTAAAGAGTGTCTTTCTGAGTAGTGAGAACAGTAAGCTTGGTTTACAAGCAGAATGATGATGACATACATTCACCCCGCTCGCATGCTTATCGATAGACATTCCCCTCAATCAGCAATCAACTACACCTGGGCACAGCAGCACAACGACATTCATCCCCTCTGAACTTTCAAGCATTCAGAAATTACTCGTGGATCTGATACCATTCCTATATCCCAATACCCATATCTACATAAATCATGCCTCACGCAACTGCAACCGTAAACGGCATCCTAGTTGCCGAAACCGACTCCTACGAAGTTGTGGACGGAAACATCTACGTAACCAAGCCTTCTCCTTTTTGCCCATGATGAGCTCCCTTCAATTCGCCTAATGCATCTCAGTTCCCACCCGACACCATCAAGAGCAACCACTTCAGCCCTACAAACACAAAAACGCATTGGTAAGTTTTGAGTGTACGGAATGCATGTGAGACACATACTGACTTCGCACGTCTACCCCTGTAGCCCCTACAAGGGCGATGCGAGCTACTACACCGTTACAGCCAACAAAACGGAAGTAAAAGATGCAGCGTGGTACTACCCAGAGCCGTTGGAAAGCATGAACAAGATCAAAGGTTATGTTGCTTTCTACAAGGGAAAAGCTGAGGTGAAGAGTGAGTAGAGGGAAGAAGAAGAGATATAGGGTCATGGGGCTGCGTGCGGATATGGGTATATTCAATATCGATTGACCCCCAGAGAAACGTAATGCAAATGTTCCTGTGTAGTAACGCCGATAAATGCTCATCATCATAACGTCTGAACTGGCTGTTCCTATGCTCATGCATCAACAGCCATCATCATCGTGTCATCGCCATCGATGCCTACAGCCGGCGGCTCAATCATGACACCCCGTCCTCTTCCTTGAAGTAGTTCCCTTCGTACCTCTGCGCTAATGCTCCTGTGACCTCTTGTGAGCAGCAAGTCGAGCAGCGCCTCTCTTTGGTCCTCGGTGATGTCGTTCCTGTATCTTTGCGCAAAGGCAAGCAAGCACTGATGCCAAATGACGGGCAGTTTGCCTGTGTTACCTAGGTCGCCTGCTACAGACTCGGTGTCCATGGCATCTGCACTGCTGGCACCCACGCCGCGGAAGCGCAGGAAGTGGAAGACGAGTGCGTCGATGACCTTGAAGGGGAGGGCGTATTTCTTCTCCAGTAGGGTCTTGATGAAGATGTTGCAGGGGCCGGCGGCGTCGGGGTCGGATGACATTTGCTCGGCAGCGATTTCACACAGACGGTGGAGGGCAGCAGCGGAGTGTAGGACGGGGACGGAGACCTTGGCTACAACGGATGCCACGATCGTGGCGTCCCGCTGAGTGCAGGTGACGTCCGTGAGCATTGGGAAAACGACACCCTTGAAGAAGGCGCTGGGCTTGTAAAGGGCCTTCTTCAGCGCATTGTACAGATGCACGTTCAGCTTGTGTGTCTCCCGGATGTTCTGTTGTACCAAAGGTAGCAGTATGGTGTTGAGGAAGGTCTGCGCCGTTCGCGGGTCTCTGGAGATGAAGATTCGGGTAGCAGCGAAGGTGGCGTTGGCTGTCCAGTCGTCAGGACGTGTGATGGCGACAAGCGTTTCCCAGGCGGGGATCGTGGGTAGGATCTTGAAGGGCTTAGGCAGCTTGCCGCTCTTGTAGCGACTCAGAATTAGTCCAATCTTTGAGTATACTGTGCAGGCTTAGTAGAGTTGTGAGATTATGCAGTGAGGATGCTGTACCTTCGACGACCTTTGCTGGTAGTTCGATTGCGTCTTCTGGAGCACCACCGCCTTGAATTTCTGGTTGCTGAACTTCGCCTCCGGCTTCATGCGCAGCGATCTTTTCGAGGATGAGCGCTGCCAGGTCTGTGCCGGGTCCTGATTGTTGCGCTTCCTCACCGGGCCACACGATGGGGTTGTCGTCTGTTGGTATGAACTTGTTCCACGCCGCCAGGTCGTTCGCATCAATCTCAACTTCTTCTATCTCCTCGTCGTCCTCACCCCATGCCTCGTCGTCATCTTCGCCTTGGACCAAATCCTCTCCTGGCATATCGTCCTCTCCCATGCGTGTCTCGAAGTCGAAGGCTGGGTTGGTTTCTTGCGGCCTCCGGACCTTGTTCTCCCTCGCATCCTCCTCTTCTAGCTCTCTTCCAATTTCCAAGATTTTGCGGGAGCTCTTGGAGTCTACGTATTTCTGCTCGTCGTCTTCCTTGTCGCTCTTGTTTCGCTTTTGTCGCTTCGGCGCCTTGTTCTTCCATGGGTCGGAGGGCGCATATTCTTCGGCTAGAGGGTTGTGTCGCTGGTCGCGCACACCCGGCGATTTGGGTGCTTTTGGCATGGTGGAAATGTGGTCGCAAGCGAAGAATCAGAAAAGGCGCAAGGTCTTCTTTTGAAGTTTTAGTAGAGCCGTGCGTGTATTACAGACGTCTGTCCAAGTCGGCGGCAGTGGGTTGTAAAAGTTCGAGAACGGGATAAATTTTGGTGGGGTCTGCCTAGCGCCGCAACTTGCATGCCAGGGTCGTGCCTTCCATCAACATAGCTACACAGCTGTCGCGCTTTCCACTCGAGCTACGTCAACCTTCAAAATGGCCGACTCACAGCCCCCTTCGCGTTCCAATACGCCCACACTCGTGCCTCCGATGCGGCGACCGCTCGAAGGAGACAATGCGCCCGCCGTCTCGTCTCCGCTGAACCCCAATCCCGATGCGGCAGCACGTGCCAGACCGAAAGCTCCTGCGCGCGAGCAGAGAGAGAAGCGCGAGACGATTAAGAAACGCGAAGCTTCAGCATCGACTCGCCAGGCCACTCCGAGCGCAAAGTCTAGCAAGAAAGAGCGTCCCTCAGCGGACTCACCCATGCGATATTCGATCCCCGAGCCCAGGCCTTCCGACTACGAAGCGCCCAAAGACAGCACGCTGGTATCACATGAGCCGAACCCCATGTATGCGCCCGATGGCGTCACCGAGCTGAAGAAGCCACACGATATCGCCTGGAACAAGAAGGGCTACAAATACACCCACTGCGTCGCCGACCCTCTCTTCCGTCACAAGCAATACTACAGACAGAGCGACTCTAGGCCATACGGACCGAGGATGAGCCATGAAGACTGCGACAGATGGTTTCACTTCGACAACAGCGCGACAATTGTGTCGCAGGAGAAAGGCTGGCGTATGGGACGGGGCAATGTCGTCGCGAGAGAAGGCAGAATATACTATGAGGTCAAGGTGCTCAGAGGCATACCGGTAGATGGGCCAAAAGATCCTATCGACCCCAGAACGGGAGAGACGAAGCCTGGACCCCACGTCAGAATGGGTTGGGCAAGGAGAGAAGCGCCGTTGGACGGACCCGTGGGCTTCGATGGCTACAGCTACGGCATCACCGACGCGCGCTTCGAAGCGCAACATCGATCGCGCGCCTCCAAGATCTTCAAGCCGCTCCCCAAGAACGCAAAGAGCAAGCACATGAAGGCCAGGCCTCCGCATGGCAAGCCAATGCCTGTTGAATATGTTATAGATCAACATGTTCAGGAAGGCGATGTGATTGGGCTTGAGATCCAGCTGCCGTCGCTCTCAATGCATCGCAAGGTCGTCGAGGGCATCTATAACCCGGCTGTGGATCTAGGAGATGGATTTGATACCGTCAGTAACCAGGACCCATTCGACCGTCCCATCGACATCATCCGCGATCGCATACCCGTGCCTTACAAAGGCAACTTCTACTTCGAGCAGCTCGACTACCAAGTCACAAAGATGGTGGAGGCTTACCACGATCGCGGTCCCGTACCCAAGATACACCCCTCACCGAATCACGAAGACGTCAGTGTACGATCACTACCACACTCGCACATCAAGGTCTACAAGAATGGTGAGGAGGTCGGCATCGCTTTCGAGAACCTCCTAGCCTTCCTCCCTCCTGCCAGCATACCATCAGTCGAAGCTATCAAAGCTGGTGCACGAACAGGCTTCGATGATGGCATGGTAGGATACCTGCCAGCTATTTCGTTATTCAACGGTGGTGTTGCCCAAGTCAACTTCGGTCCCGACTTCTGGTGTCCGCCCGAAGAGATGGTACAGCAGCGCGAGAAGGATACCCAGATGGTCGATGGCGATACAACCGAGCAGCTGATTCCAGATGGCCGTAAACTGCGGGCTATAGGCGAGCGTTACAAGGAGCAGATCGCCGAGGACGTTGTTTGGGACATCATCGATGAGGTTGACTTCTTCTCCCAGGACGGAGGATGGGAGTACAAGGGCGAGGCTCCTCAGGACGTGGCAGGCAAATCCACGCCTAGGGCGCGTGGCTTTGCAAACGCCGATGAGAATATTGGTGTTGAGGTGGCCAAGCGATACTGATGAACATGAAAAGTCGTTTTAGTGTTCAGTGGATGGTAATTATAGCGAGGCGTATAGGTATACCCGTCATCAATAATTGATATGCATCTCTCGACGTTTTGTCTGGCGCCATTCCTGAATTGTCAGTCTCTTTTCCGCACCGAAGCGATCGCATAATTTGCACCTGCGGTCCATTCGACAGATGACAGTCCTCATCTGCGGCTCTTCGGCTTCTTTCTGCACCGGGTTGCCACCAAATCGTGTCCCGTATAGCTACACCTTGTTAAGAAATTTCGCGCCCTACGCCCTACAACCGTTCGCATCAATTCCGTCCACAAATGTACTTTGCCAAAGAAGGCAATTAGCGCGGAATTAGCGACATAAGACATCTGCATCTAAACTAGCGCAACGGTCACGTTTGCGCCAGCATTGAATATATACCCAGGTATCCTGCGACTCTCACTTGCCCACACTCATATATCATAGTCAGAGAGGTAAATTGAATTCTTCTTTTTGTCTTCTTGGACACATTACTTCTCATCCCACTACCCCTCCATGGATTCTTCACAATTCCGCGAAGCGGCCAAAGGTGCCATTGACGAAAGTAAGTGCTCCCATTCTCACCTGATAGAAACGTATGTTGACCTGCCCCCAAGTCGCAACCTACTACGATACCCTCGAGGAACGTCCCGTCCTCCCCTCCGTCAAACCAGGCTACCTGCGCCCGCTACTCCCCGCCTCGACGCCCGAAGAAGGCGAATCATGGGAGACCATCCAAGCAGATATCGACCGCGTCATCATGCCGGGCCTAACTCACTGGCAAAGCCCCAAATTCATGGCCTTCTTCCCGTGCAATTCGTCCTTCGAAGCCATGATAGGCGACATGTACAGCGGAGCCTTCAACGCCGCAGCATTCAACTGGATCTGCTCGCCCGCCATCACAGAGCTAGAAACCGTTGTTATGGACTGGATAGCCAAGCTCATTGCACTACCGAAAGACTTCCTCAGTGAGGGCGAGGGCGGAGGCATCATCCAAGGTACCGCCAGTGAAGTCGTACTAACAGCCCTTGTTGCCGCCCGCGAACGCCTCATCCGCCGTAAACTGGGCGATATGCCTGAAGGCGAAGAGAGGATGGACAAGGCAGCCGATATCCGGGGTAAGCTCGTTGCGTTGGGTTCCGAACATGCGCATTCGAGTACGCAGAAAGCGGCTATCATCGCGGGAACCCGATACCGCAGTGTGCCAGCATCGAAGGAATCGAACTACAGCGTCACGGCCTCTGCTCTGCGCAAAACCATCGAAGAGTGCCGCGCGAAAGGGCTTGAGCCGTTTTACTTCACCATCACGATTGGTAGCACAGGGACTTGCGCTATCGACGACTTGGAAGGCATCGCGGCGCTTGCGAAAGAGTTTCCTGACCTGTGGATTCACGTCGATGCTGCGTATGCGGGATCTGCGCTCGTGTGTCCCGAGTATCAACATCTCTGCAAGCCGATTGCGTCGTTTGACTCGTTCAACTTCAATCTGCACAAGTGGTTGCTGGTCAACTTTGATTGCTCGGCTTTCTTTGTCAAGAAGAGGAGGGACTTGATGGATACGTATAGTATCACGCCTAGTTACCTGCGCAACCCTCATTCTGAGCAAGGTCTCGTTACAGACTACAGAGATTGGCAGATTCCGCTCGGTCGCCGGTTCAGGAGTTTGAAGGTTTGGTTTGTGTTGAGGAGCTATGGGGTTAACGGTCTGAGGCAGTTCATCAGGAAGCATGTCAAGTTGGGAGAGTACTTCCATGAGTTACTGCTGTCGAAGCCAGACTTGTTCAGCGTAGCTACTGAGCCGGCGTTTGGACTCGTCACATTCCAGGTCAAGCCGAAGATGGCTTCGGATACGGCGAAGGCGGCGAATCAGGCTGACCCGACGCACGAGGCATTGCAGAACGACTTCTACTCAGATGCCGAGGCGCAGTACAAAGAGATAGTCAATCAGAGGACGAAGGAGGTTTACGAGAAGATCAACAGCAAGGGAGATTTCTTCCTGACAAGCACAGTTTTGGGTGGACTATATGTTATCAGGGTAGTCAGTGCGACGATCAAGAGTGAGGAGAAGTGGATGAAGCAGATGTTTGATGAGTTGGTGGAGGCCGCGGAAGGCAAGGACAGTGATAAGGCAGCTTGAGCGTAACTTATGTCACCCTCATGCTGCCACCCCCCCTTCATCTCTTCCACATGCGGTACAAGGCCAGGAAGTCCTAGGGGGTCACGGTGTCCACGGAAATGTCAGTGCGATGAGTAAGGAGGTCAAACGCTGAGAATGTGAGAAATGGACCTGATAATGTACGAATAGTGGCCAAGAATGACATGGAGATCAAGACATCATTGCATGAGTTTGAAATGCTATCATCAGTCTAATCGTAATATCCGTACTGCATTTCCACCAAGAACATCCTGTGCTTTCTTGTCGTCCGTTGAAAAGGCTTTTGAGATAGCCCCATAGTTCGCGTTAACACTGTGCCATTCCTTCGCGTCTTCCTCGAGCGGTGGGAAGAATGGATGATCAGTGCCTGCTAGTGTTAGCTCTCAGTCTCACAAATTCGTGCATACGCGCCTACCAAACAATAACCGATCAGACCCTGATGCATCGAGAGCGGCCTTCAGTCCAACCTCCGAGTAGATGACAGCATCAAGGTAGATATTTGTCTTCAAGATATCCCACACATCCCTCCTGTTCTGTGTCTTGCCATGCTTCTTCAGGTGACCATCGTGCAAGATGCAAGACTCAATGCGACCTGCGAGGAACGGTAGTGTACCACCAGAGTGTGCCAACAGCACGCTGAGCTTTGTGAACCGATCCCAGACGCTGCTCAACAGCATCCTCGTCACCGCAATGGTTGTCTCCAAGGGGAAGCCGAGCGCTAATGGTAGGACGTGTCCGTATTCGCTCGCTCGCGGTCCATAGACGGATGTAGGTAGGCCGTAGTGTGGGTGGAGGAAGATGAGTTGTTGGTGCTTTTCTAGTGCTGCGTAGACAGGATCGAGGTTCTCGTCGTCGAGACCTTGTCCGAGACCAGATGTTCCCATGATGACACCGCGTGCGTACTTGAGTGTGCTTAGTCTTTCGATTTCGGCGGTTATGACTTCTGGCGATGCGGAAAGTGGAAGGGTGCCGAAGAAGTAGAGTCGGCCGGGATACTGTGAGCATTGGTCATTGACATCGTCGTTGATCTTCTTCGCTGCTTCGCCAGCTTCCTCTGCGGGAAGAAAGTCGAGCCAAGGATTTGCTAACGAGATGACTGATTTGTCAATCTTGTGCAGGTCCATGAACGCTATCTTCTCTTTAATCTCGTAGTATTCGGAGCCAATTGGGCGGCCGCGTGAGGTTGAAGGTGTTGAAGGGTCATCTTCTCCAGGAAGAATGATGAGACGTGCTGAGTCTGGGGCATCGGGAAACGTTCGAACGTATGGTACGGTGGTTCGTGAGCGCAGTAGCTCCATGTATTTGGGAGGGTAAACATGGGTGTGGACGTCGACGATCGTCATGCTAGCTGATGGGGACGCGTTTTACGCGTCAAGTGATAAGTGAAGATGCTGTGATGGTGTATTGACGCTTCAAACGCGTTCTTGGGAGTGAAAGAGAAACCAAAGAATTGTCAGGCCTCTTGATCTGACGGGCGAGACGTATCGTGGATGTTTTGACCCTGGTGGGGTAGCTTGAATTGCCCCACTACCGGGCGTCCAACATCCCACCTTCCCCAAGCGGCAAGAAGCTACGGAGCCGTTGACGGAGATGGCCGCGATGAACATGTGTCACTTTGGTATGTCGAAATGTTTTGTTACGTACTATTATTCGAGACAAGTTTAGTTGGTCAGAGATACTGCGGCCGATCAAGCCCATGTCCTCAAGAAGACGTTCGGCGGCTTGTCCCAGGTCTCGAACTCTGCATCCACCTCCCACGGGATATCTCCTGTACCCTCATCCTTGAAACCTAGTTTCCTGTAGACAGGTCTTCCCATAACGCTTCCCTCTGTTGTACACTCCAAGTTGCCCCTCTTCTTTGCCTCCTCAAGGCCGACCTCAACCAGCTTGGCAGCAATGCCGCGACGCTGGTATGCTGGGTCAACAGCACAACAGTCCAATGTAAAGATGGCGGGGGGATTGCGGCCTGACTTCTCGACCTCTCGCATGTATGCGATACGTCGTTTCCATAGTGAGTTGAACATTTGCGTTGCAAACCGCCGTTTCTGGTCGTCGTAATCAGTGAGAGCTTCCTCCATGTCGCCGTAGAACGGGTCGCCATAGCCTTCCACGAACGATAGCTGCTTCCAGATGGCTATTCCAGCAACTCGTCTTTCGCCCTGGTTATCCGGATCAGGCACGGTGGCCTTGAGATAGAGAGCATTGGGTTGTCCGTCTTTGTTGGTGGTGATGGACTGCCATCTCTTCATCAGGATCTGAGCTTGCTTCGCCTGTCCTTCCTCCGTGTCCCAGCCGGGTGTCATCAGTTGCCAAAGGGCATCTTTTGCTTGGTGACCGAAGGCTTCAGAAAGACAGTGTTGTGCCTGCCTGAAGTCTTGCTCCGTCTCGCAAGAAGATATAACGACATCGGTTTTGGTGGTCATGCTGAAGGTGATAGAAGTGGTGCAAGTGCAAGTACTTTACGTGGCGTATGCTGGGGACACTGCGGGTTTTATGTATGGGGTTAGTAGGATCGAGTGACTAAAGACCCATAAAATGCCACCGCCTATAGGCTTCGTAGACGACTCTGCTGATGGCTAATTCTTGGCATATCATCTTAATGTGGTATCGCATCCTGATCAGGTGGAAGAATGTCAGGGTTCAGGAAGCAGCGTAATAACGCATGTTGACTGGAAGCCTGGGTGTTACTTGGACCAGCGTGAATGGCATGGCGACAACCTTGGAAGGCTGGTGGTAACATTTTTTGAGAAGAACTAGCGAAGACGCTTTGGATGCAGTGGTCAAAACGAGTCCACTGAGCAACCTCGGAAATTAGCAAGTGCGCGTGGAGATGCAAAAGGGTGCAGAGAGGGTTGGGATGGGAGCTAGGATGGCAGGCGACGGCTAGCGTGGCGCAAATCAATTAGCAGGGATGACGCGCTCGCGCCTGCGACACGCTTTCGCGTTCTCCCTGGGCGCCTTCCATCTACTCCACCAACAACAAACACACACCCACCACCCGTCTTTTATCACGCTCTTGGGTGTTGTATCTGTCGGTCACATCATCAAGATGCCAGGAGCCGTAACAAGAGCGCCGGCGAAGCGCGCCCTCGCCGAAACATCCAGCACACGCACCAATGTACAGCCGTCGCCCCACTCGTCCAAGAAGTTGAAGCTCCAGAATGGCAACGACAGGAGTAGACCGCCAACAAAGATGGTCAATGGCTCCTTCAACTCGAGCCAGGTGGGCCCCAGCCAGTTCGAGGAGACGTTGGAGAAGATGACGCAGGATATGGAGACGCTGAAGAAGGACAACTCAGAGAAGGACCAGCAATGGCGGCGGCCTGCCTTGCCCGAAGACTTCAATGAGATGACGCAAAATCTCGTCTTCCAACAGATCGAGGCAGAAGAAGGCGTGCTGAACGGTGGAAAGACAACTGTCAAGCTCTTTGGTGTTACCGAGGTGAGAAGCGTGCAGATGGCACACATCGACTTGGACTGACCGCGTATCACAGACTGGTCACTCCGTCCTCATCCACGTTACTGGTTTCCAACATTACTTCTACGTCGCCGCGCCGCTCAATTTCCACAAAGAAGACTGCGAACCGTTCAAGATCTTTCTCGAGAGCGAATGCCAGAAGAACTTCAACCAACACTCAGCTGTCATCGCATCAGTACAGATGTGTATGAGAGAGAACATTCTGCGCTTTCAGGGAAACCAGAAGAGCCCATACCTCAAGATCACAGTGACTGATCCGAAAATGATCAACCGCGTGCGCATGATGGTGCAAAAGGGCAATGCTAACTACAAGCGCCTTTGGCCGGCCAGAGAAGACGGTATTCTCACATTCGACAACATCGCCTACGTACTGCGCTTTATGATCGACACCAAGGTCGCCGGTATGTGCTGGGTCGAAGTTCCAGCAGGCAAATACAGAATGATCAGCCCCCGCGACCGACACTCCAACTGCCAAATCGAGGCACAGCTACACTACAGCGATCTAATCGCTCATCAATCTGAAGGCGAATGGGCCAAACTCGCCCCTCTTCGCATCCTCTCCTTTGATATCGAGTGCGCTGGCCGCAAAGGTGTTTTTCCCGAGGCCAACATCGATCCAGTCATCCAGATCGCGAACGTCGTTACAAGATACGGAGAGCCGAAACCCTTTGTCAGAAACGTCTTCTGTCTAGATACAGTCAGCCCTATCGTTGCGACACAGGTCTTGTCATTCCAAGACGAAGGCGAGATGCTGATGAAGTGGCGAGACTTCTTAGAAGAGGTCGACCCAGATGTCATCATCGGCTACAACATCAACAACTTCGACTTTCCGTATCTGCTCGACCGCGCAAAACATCTCAAGTTACAGAAGTTCCCGTATTGGTCCCGTCTGAAGACAGTACAGTCCAAGGTAGAGAGTTCGAATTTCTCTAGTAAGCAACTAGGAAGCCGAGACACAAAGACAACGAACACCAACGGTCGCCTCCAACTTGACTTGCTACAGCTCATTCAGCGAGACCACCAACTGCGCAGCTACACGCTCAACTCGGTGTGTGCTCATTTCTTGAAGGAGCAGAAGGAGGATGTACATCACAGCATGATCACGGAACTGTTCAACGGAGACTCCAACTCCCGGCGACGATTGGCTGTATACTGTTTGAAGGATGCCTATCTACCACAGAGATTGCTCGACAAGCTCATGTGCCTGGTCAACTACACGGAAATGGCTAGGGTCACAGGTGTGCCTTTCAACTACCTTCTTGCCCGTGGCCAACAAGTTCGCTTCATTAGCCAGCTGTTCCGTAAAGCCCTCGACCATCAACTCATCGTTCCGGACCTTCCGAACCAAGGCGACAGCAGTGACCAGTATGAGGGTGCTACTGTCATTGAGCCCAAGCGCGGCTACTACAAGGAACCTGTCGCAACCCTCGATTTCGCATCGCTATACCCTAGTATCATGCAGGCCCACAACCTTTGCTATACGACCTGGCTTGACAAGCAGACGGTGGAGAAGCTGAAGATGAAGAAAGACGAAGACTACATCGTAACTCCAAACGGCGACATGTTTTGCACAGCGAAAACACGTAAGGGACTCTTGACTGAGATTCTGGAAGAATTGCTGGGTGCGCGTAAGAGGGCGAAGAAAGAGTTGACGATCGAAACCGATCCTTTCAAGAAGGCTGTGCTCAACGGTCGTCAGCTGGCCTTGAAGGTCAGCGCCAACTCGGTTTACGGTCTGACAGGTGCTACCAACGGAAAGCTACCGTGTCTTGCCATCGCCAGTAGTACCACAAGTTTCGGTCGCCAAATGATCGAAAGGACCAAGGCGGAAGTCGAGGCAAAATACAACATCGCGAACGGATACACACACGATGCTGAGGTCATCTACGGTGACACGGATTCCGTCATGGTCAAGTTTGGTACGTCCGAACTAGCAGAGGCGATGAAGCTCGGTGAGGAAGCTGCTCTCTATGTGTCTTCAAAGTTCGTCAAGCCAATCAAGCTGGAGTTCGAGAAGGTCTACTTTCCCTACCTACTCATCAACAAGAAGCGTTACGCTGGTCTCTACTGGACGAATCCGCACAAGTGGGACAAGATGGATACAAAGGGTATTGAAACGGTCCGCCGTGATAATTGCCGTTTGGTTCAGACTGTTATCGAAACTTCATTGCGCATGCTGTTGATCGACCAAGATCCAGAAGGTGCCCAAGAGTAAGTCATCCCGCCACCTACTCAAGTTCGTCTGCTAACATCAAATAGATTCGTCAAGGAGACTATTGCGGACCTATTGCAAAACAAGGTCGACATGTCTAATCTTGTCATTACCAAAGCACTTACCAAGCAAGAGAACAAAGATGGAACAGGTGGTTACGCCAACAAACAAGCACACGTTGAGCTTGCCGAACGCATGAAGAAGCGCGACGCTGGTTCAGCGCCCGCACTGGGTGATCGTGTCGCCTACGTTATGATCAGAGCCGCCACCGGTGCGAAGAACTTCGAGAAGTCTGAGGATCCCCTCTTTGTCCTCGAGAACAACCTGCCCATCGACACACGTTACTACCTGGACAACCAACTCGCGAAGCCATTGGGCAGAATCTTCGAGCCTATTCTAGGTGAGAAGAAGGCGGCCTCATTACTCACTGGCGATCACACACGTTCCATCACCGTTGCAGCTCCCACCATGGGTGGTTTGATGAAGTTCACGAAGAAGACATCCACATGCATGGGTTGCAAGAAGCCACTTACCGCTGCGCATGAGAAGGACGGTGCCGTTTGTGAGAACTGCAGGCCTCGTATCGCTGAGCTCTACACAAAGACGCTAGGCAAAGTCAGTGAGCTTGAGGTTCGTTTCTCACGTCTTTGGACCCAATGCCAGCGATGCCAGGGCAGTGTTCACTGTGAAGTCATCTGCGCATCCAAAGATTGCCCCATCTTCTACATGCGCATGAAGGCGAGGAAAGATGTTGAAGACGCGGGCAAAGAGCTGGTTCGTTTCGACAAGGATGCGGCGTTGTGGTGATTGACTGGCATCATACGCATAGCATGTAACAAGTGTGCGGTGTTTGGGCGTTTTGGTGGTATGGATATACGTCTGTACAAATAAGGGGGCTCACTGAGCATGTTTAAGATGCGTAGCGACATCAGCATGTATACTTTTGAATGAATATTGTTGCAATCACTTGGTGTATTATTTCTGTCCTATGGTAGTTTCAGTGGAGACATTGAGGCGCAGTCAACCTTTCTCAATGCTTCTTCCTTTCTCATGAGCTGACTCTTGTCCACAACCGTCCATCCCCCATCTGATGTTCCTTGCACATCGCCACAACATAATGCCTATGCCCTAGGCCTGGAACTACAAACACACCAGCGCCATATGCCGTCGAAGCCCCTCACTCCCCCACCACCGGAACCCTTCTGTCCACGCGCTTGTCCCTCATCTAGATCATGCATCTCGCCACTCTCCAGACCAACAACAAACATCTGCAAACTCCAGAGGAAATTCTGGAAAAGCAGGATCTCTTTCTGTTGCTCTAGCAGATTTGCAATAACCTCCAGCATCCCCGTGGAAGCAGTCTCTGATGCTGCTGCGTACTGAGTCTCGAAGGAAGTGTAGGCCGCAGTGTAGGCGTTGTTGTGGCTGATGTAGAGGTTTGTGAGCATGAGTTGGTGGGCTCGCAGGGTGGTGGGGAGGTTTGAGGTAGGTTTGGCTTCTCGAAGTAAGAGTGGTGAGAGCGTGGTTGGGTGGAGAAGGTTGGACATCATGGTGGTTGGGGTTGGGTTGGGGTTAGCTTGGAAGTTGGAGCAGGGTTCGAGGAGCTGGTGTGCATAGTTGTTAGGGTTACGACGGTGGTTGAGCTTGAGTAGAGAGGTCGTTTGCCAAGATGATGTGTGTAGTGAAATGGTGAGAAACGCAGGATTATTTTATCGCGTGGCCAGAAGTGTTTAAGTAACCGTGCATTATTTCCAAGTTATCGTCGTAGGAGTTTATGCTCCACTAAATAATTCACGTTATCGCCTCCCTGGAATTGATCTTCGCATGCATACAATGTGGAAGACACCTCATGGATCTCGAAGCCCATAGACATGCCATCAACCAAGCAAACACGAACGTCCCTCTTGAGTACCGGCAGTGGCATTTACACAATATGTTTTCTCCCTCTGTGAGAATTTGCGTCCATCTGGAAGCTGTTGATCTTACATGCATGAACCCTTGCCCAAACATCGTCGTTCTGACAAGGATATCTACTAGCAAAGAAAGGAAGCAGGACGAGAGGTTTGTAAGACCTCAGTGAAATCTCTTAGTATCATCATTCTATAAAGAGCGATGAGACAGCTTCATGTCGCGCTTATACTGGTGGATGCTCTGGGATTTCTCGGTGGTAGAGTGCTTATCTCTGAGGGGGTGCTGAACTTCCTTCTTGGTGGTAACTGATCTGCGCTTATCTTGTTGTCCGCCGCGAGTTCTTCTTCGCTGCTTCGCGTAACATTCCAGTGTGTATCCCGCCTAGGAGTCCTGTTCCTGCTACTGCCAATGGTAACAGCATTCATCTTGATCGTGCCGGCGTTGTTCTGGTCTGCTTCAGATCCACTCGGGTTGTGCCGAACGTAGCCTTGTGTATCGTAGGATATGTGAGGCGTGTGGGCACGGCGGAAGAACACAGCAAACGCAGGGCAACAACCAATACAGATAGCTACAGATGACTCAATGAGCGTCCAGAATGCTAGCCAGGTCGGACTGGGTGCTGTGCTTTCTCCAGACTTTCTGCCGACCTGTATGACGCGCAGAGTGGCAAAGGTGATGCACACGAAGCCAGATGCGAAGAGTGCGATAATAGCAATCTTCTGCGCCCGTAACATTTGAAGGTTCCACACAAGTCGGATTGGTAAAAACATGACTGGCAGCATTAGTACCGAGGCTGTAGTGGGGTAATATATCACGTACTCATGAGATCTGACAGGATATCGACAGCGTAGGACATGTATAGGCTAACAAGCTGGGCACGAATGTTTCGGGACGTATTTGGGCAGTCTCCTCTGAGCATCAGGGCGGTAAAGTCGGGACAAGAAGTAAGATAAGAAGCGATACAGCCGAGAACAGACTACATCAGAGGTTTTAGTGTGGTCAAAGAGCATACGATAACATGAACTTACAATAATACAGAAGGTGAATACTGCCCACCAAAGTCTTGTCCATACGCGCGGAAGGCCCTCTAGTAGTTTTTTGTACAGTGCTAATAGAGATAGCTTGACCGACCATAGTGTTAACCAAAACAGTACAGTGGTAACGAACACGATCCGAACGTTGAGGACGAAATCGGACTGGAACGTTGGCCAAGGTTCAAGTAATCCTACCAGAACCTTTGAGATGTCGAATATCGTAGAAATGTTGATGAGGTAGCATATTGACAAAGCGAGAAATAATGCAAAAGCCAGGTATATGAGATAGTCTTGCAACTCCATAGCTTTGCGCCTCCAAACTTGTACGCCAATACGTACGAGCATGACGGCTGAAGCCAATACCACCATGGCGTAAGAGGCTCGAAAGAACTCAGGTTCTGAGATGATTTCCTTGTACTGAGCAGACATGGCTGAGTGTCCGACATCAAACCGTACCGGCTACTGACAGACCTCAGGCGTATAGAGGTGAAGGCAGAGTGATGGTGGTAGAGTAAAGTCACTACATCGGACAGCGTTCTCTTTCCGCCTAAACAGTACATATTAGCCCCCAAGGATATCAATGCTCCTGTCCTCTACGGGCTGCCAGCTGCAGCATATATCTGAAGGAGCAGGTTCCCAAACCTAGGCACGGTGCGGCACAGTACATCCGTAGTGCCTTCACCTCATGGGGCGTAACCGGGTTCGGACATGGCCCGGCCTGGGATGCGAATTAGGTTGATTCCTCAAAGTTTGGATGCAAATCCTGAGGGCTCGGTTAGCAGATGGTTAATCTAGAATCGAATCCTACGGTGGCGATTTCTAGGAATGAGCACAGGAGCCGTCCCAGAGTTTTGGCCCCGACCATCGCGTGCGAAGATTCAGTTTTGTCCGTGCATATAGAGCGATGACAGTCGAGCTACCTAAGTAGATGATGATTTTATACGGGAGACCTTCTGGCAACCCAACAATGTGTAATGGAGTGCTGTGAGCCATGCCGTGATTCGTCTCGCATCGCGCTATGAAAGCGGCGTAGCTTAGACGCCACTTCGGATGTTCTGATGAATGCAGGAACGTTGGTGTCAATGCCAGCCGCTGGGTAAAACAAGGGGTTATGTCTGGCAAGGGCGGGGCGTTATCTCCGCGGCGGGCGGCATTGGCGGAGACACCCTAGCCTCACGCGCCAGCAGTCCACATATCATTTAGCCACCCCCTCCACAGCATCACCCATATGTACATCCTCTCACATATGTCGTCGGAAAGTATGTATACTCAGGTTCTTCTCAATGCTCAGCCATTTGCGCGTTCACCAGCCCGAGCGAGCCTGGCTCTTCGCAAACTCATCCTTCGGGTGTCTTTGCAACGGATGCTATAGTGCGAAGGATGCTGCCGTGTGCGGTGGGGTCATGCAGACCGGGGGGAAGATAATTATATGCATGTAACGTTAGCATTGGGATTGAGCTCGGTAACTCCGCCTCTTCGCGCTTCTGTGCGCACTCAAATCTGACCCAAGCAGGAATGAAGATCATGGCCGCCGGACTTTCGAGCCCTAATTGATAACAGTCGCACACTACGGGCGCATGAAGAAGCAAATCCATGGGATATTTGAAAGATGGTGCTTAGTTCATCTAGACCAACATGTTCAGATGTCCCGATGAACTCAAAACAGACAGGGACCTGGCTGAATCCTCCCGAGGTCTTCGATGTATACTGCATGCCAGCCTACCCCTTCTAAGACTGAAGGGATCTAGAAGTATAGAACCGCCAACGAACCCGTCAATTCCGGGGCACAGCATCCCCGCCGCCCGGTAATTTGATATCGCCGAGAATTTACACGTCAGGTTGGAGTGATAAAAGGATGTGGTTCCCTAGCACTGAGTCGCAGCCACCATCAATACAGACTTCTTCCTGTAATTGCGCAGCGTTCTTCCTGCGCCCAGCACCTTCGTGCCAGACTCGGACAATTCTTTTCGTAAACCCTGTTTGTAGATCGATCCTGCTTTTGCGATCGAAAGGATGAAGTACGCCGTCCCATCTGCTACCTTGGTGGCGGGCGTTGTATCTAAGGCTACATTCGAACCCGCAGACTTCAATGTGACTGAGGCATTACTCAAAAATGGTGTTAATGTCTCTGCTATACCTGAGCTTGCACCTTTAGCGGAGAGATCCCTATTGAGTGGCTGCTCCATTGCCGTAAGTACTGATCAAGGACCATGCAAACCCCGTAAAGACTGACACCTCGTCAGTGTAACTCGTTGAAGTTGATCTTTGGTGACGACCAAGTCGAGACACAGTCTGAAGCTGCATACGATGCCTTCATCAGCGATTACTGGTCCGGCCAACAAAGAGATATCTCTCCACAATGTGTCTTCAAACCTGAGAAAGCTTTGGACGTCTCAACTTCAATACTCCTTTCACGTCTTACGCAATGTCCTTTCGCCGCTAAGAGCGGAGGCCACTCGCCAGTACCCGGCGGCTCAAACATCGACGGTGGCATCACGATCAGTTTCGAGAAGATGAACAAGACAACAGCCAGCTCTGACAAGAAGAGCGCTACGTTTGAGCCTGGCCAAACATGGTACGACGTGTACACAAAGCTTGAGAAAGATGAAGTTGCTATCATTGGTGGTCGAGTAAGTAGAATTCTGTGAGAACAGAGAGGCGTGTCACTGATGATTGCTTAGGTTGCCAGTGTTGGTGTGGGTGGGCTTACTTTAGGCGGAGGTAAGAACCAAAATGGCATAACACTACCAGTCAGCATGCGCTGAACCAATTTTCAGGCATCTCATATTTCTCAAGCGTGTACGGCTTGGCATGCGACAACGTCATCTCGTATGAACTCGTCACTGCTTCTGGACTTATCATCAACGTCGACCAGAATTCGTTCCCAGATCTCTACTGGGCTCTTCGAGGGGGTGGCAACAACTTCGGTATCGTCACCAAGTTCAACGTCAATGCTATTCCTAGAGCACCAACCATGTGGGGTGGTATGCGAACATATTATGGAAACCAATCCGAGACTCTCATCAAGGCGTACTACAATCTTGGCATGAACGGAAAGAAGGACGGAAAGGCACATCAGATCTTGTCGTTCGGCTATGGAGCTGAAGTCGGGCAGATCGCTCAGGTTGAGCTAGAATACTCAGACCCTATCACTGACGCACCAGTCCTTGCCGAATACAATAGCATCAAGGGAGCTATCTCGGACGCAGCTGGAATCAATAGTCTCGCAAACCTTACCTCGCTCCTTGCGGCCGAAGGTGCAGGTGCTCGACAGGCGTTCTGGACCTGGACGACTAAGCTTGACCTGGAAATGGCCACTCTGGCTAAAGATATCTTTTTCGAGGAGCTCAACGATGTTCTCGACGTACCGGGTATTCTTGGAGCTGTTTCGCTCCAAGTGCTGACCGAACCTATCATTGAGAAAGGTGCCATCAATGGAGGCAATGCGCTTGGGCTCGACCCTAAAGACGGCCCTCTCATGTTAGCTCTTGTCTCCATGAGTTGGACCGACAGCGCGGACGATGACAAAATGAACAAGTTCAACGCACGCATTAAGGACCGCTGTGTGACGGCAGCCAAGGCTAAGGGCAAAGCGAACGAATACCTGTACATGAACTACGCCAGCCCGTGGCAAGACCCCGTTGCTGGATACGGTGCCGCGAATCAGGCCAGATTGAAGGCCATTTCCAAGAAGTACGATCCTAGCGGTGTGTTTGAGATTCTCCAACCCGGCTACTTCAAGCTCAACGGCCCACCACGGAATGACTTGTAAAGGATTCCATGTTGCACATCTGGCACATGGTAGCCACATTCAAACAATTCATGTCGTTTATCTGATCTGTCTCTCTATCGAATCGCATTGCTGTGATTAGTCTCTGCTTTCCTGCTCACTTCTCATCATTTGTCTCGGTGGTATCACTGCCGATAAAAAACGTCAGCGATAATCTTGGGTTAACTGGAGATAGTCATTCGGAAAGACCTTTGGCTGGCGTCATGAGATACCGTTAGATGGCGGTTACTGAAGTGGCAAGGACGTCAACATAGCAAAGTAAAAGTGGCTCCACGTGACATCTTTCCGATCAAGATATCATCAGCCTGTACCATACTGGAGGCCATCTCCTGGGTACTATGAATCTTTTAATGGCTTATTCTAAGAGATCGTAGCAGTTTTGGCGCCATTGCAACATTGGATGGTCTTCGAAGCGGTGTGTTGCCGCTCAGTGAGCGCCTGCAAACGCGCAAGGACGCGAAACTTTGCTGGACCTTTTTTTCTTTTCGCGACGACATGCCACACCTTCTCAAGTTATAATTGTCAGCACGAATAACATCGAAACCACAAAGCTTACAGCTCGCTCGTTACCTGCATCTTTTCAATCGCATCCTCACAAGCGTGCCCACCACCGCCGTCTGATCGGTCAGTGCATCAACAAGCCACCTCCGAAGCTGTAGCCGTCAATTGCAGCTCCCCAAGACAACATGTTACCTCGTTCCCGCCAGCCTTTGCGCCAGCGCCATCCCCCCAAAGACGAAAGCGACAGGCTCGTCATTGCGAGCGAGCGTGTCTTGACCGGACAGAACTCTGAATTTAGCAAGCTAGATGATGAGTACGAAGAGCTTCGTGCTCAGGCCGACAATGTTGGCCATGAGCAAGAGTACCTGGTAAAGGCCTATCATGGCGCCGACAGCAAAGCGACCAGACTAGATGGTCAGAACAAGAGGCTGAGGGCGCAGCTCGAGCTTGGGGACGAGGAGAGAGACGACTTCGTCGAGCGACTTGCGGGGGCCCAGCGAGAAATCGCTCGTCTCAAGTCTGCTAAGAAAGAGAAGAAGCGCAAGCGCGAGGACTTGCCGTCGTCGTTTGAGAAGGGTCCAGATGTGGACAAGAGCGCATCCAAGACAGAAGAGAAGCCTCGTGCTAAGGTCCACAGGGACTTGATCCTTGGCAGGCCGAAGCCACAAGAGATGACTGCTGCAGTAGGGGAGGAGGAGCGGATTCAAAAGAGACCCAGGCGACGACGTTACCGCGATGAGATAAGGTATGTTAGTATATATCGCATTGTCGTTCTCAACTAACATTCGTGATAGCAGGTCTACTGTTCAGGCTACTGTCGAGGTGGAGGCGGTTGTGGAGGAGAAGATGAATGCGTAGATACAGTAGGCGTTGGAGGATGACGGTATGATACTGCGTGATGTATACGTGGAGGTGTAGGATATATAGATAGTCGTATCAATAGTACTGAGTACCTCCCCACTGCTACATGGCATCTTCAATCTTTCGGTGCTGCAGCTATATGGACCTCAAACTTGTGCTAACATCTCACTTCTTAAACGAAAACTCTTTCTCAATTCCATGCAACAAGGCCTGAATATCAATGAAAAGAAAGTGTTGGGCGCGAGACACCCGGTTCACCAGATTCACACCAAAGGTTGCGACCTGACACTCGCACGATTACTACCACGAAACTAGTAAAAGCTGCGAATGGCCGACCTCGCGTGTTACTCACGGGCAGCCGGAGCTGCGAGCGTGATGGGAATCTCATACAGATGCGAGTATCATCCCATAGAATGGGTGTGTACTCTGAGCGAACGATACCTACCTAGGTAGGTATGTTCAACGAACCGAGCCAAGGACAAGAGAAGATACAGTGCTTGCAAGCGCCGCTCCAATAACAGATCGATCAGGGTTTCTGGACTTGTCTGTTATAATCTCAACTTGCGATCTTGGTGGTTGAAGTTCTTGCTGGGATCTCGTCGCACCCGAAGGCGACGTAACAGCTGCGCCTAAAGAAGAAAAAGAAGGATTGGGTGGGAAGTCGAGTATATACGTGCAACGAGAGGGCGCTAGTTAGCGAGCACGTGAGCCGTTTGTCATCGCCTGGCCGTCAGTCTGGCGACGTAGACGCGGTGTTTGTGTGACCAATGAGTGGAGAAAGTGAAGGGGAGGAGCCGCTAGTGACGAAAGCAAGAGATCTCGAGGCAACTATTAGAGCAGATACTACCGCTCAGACACTTCCGTCGAACAAGCCACTTCCTTCTTTGCCATTTACCATCTACGCGTCCAATCAATACCATACAAGATGCCCATCAACAATAGTTCCATCCAGACAGGCGACCTCACTGTCGACCGTAGCTCGCGGATCAGTGAGCTTGAGGCAACGCAGACATCGCTCTTGGAGCTGATGTTCCGGTTGATCAAAGATAGAGCAGACAACGTCGGCAAGGATGAGTACCTGAAGCTCATTGAGAAGCGCCTAAGGGAGTTGGAGAAGACCATTCGGCAGCAGCGCGAATCTCTGAACGATTCGGAGCGCGAGTGTCAGCATCTGGCTCTAGCAGCGAAGATGTACAGGGTGAAGAGCGAGATGCGCGATAGCGGGTATGTCTTTCCACCAGTCCACAAGATACCCAGGCTAATGCACCGCTCTCAGTGCCACTCAACAGAATTTCGAACCTCCACGGGACAACCACGAGCCTAGCCTTCCATAAGGTCATAAGCGAAGCTTGGAGGATATGGGGCAGTAAGTGCACCTGAACACGTGACCAAGCTCCACTTACATGTACAGATCCGAGAGTGAAAGCCAGCCTGCACCCGCCGCCAAGCGAGTCAAGGTCGCCAAGGAGCGTATCGTCGTGTGCATCTCCTGCTTCCGGAATGGCCGGCGGTGTGACTCCGGGGAGCCATGCCAGAGCTGCCTGAAGAACCGTAGCAAGTGTCAGAGTGCGAAGTGTGCCAACTACAAGGCTGGCAAATGTTCCTTCCCAACTTGTACAAGGACACATGAAGATGACGAGCGAAAATACAAGAGGGTTGTACACTCGGGTCATGTGAGCAAGAAGGATATGGCGGTGGTCAGGCCCAAGATATCTGAGGATGTATAAGGAGGCCTGGAGGTCGTCAGCTCGTCGGCGGAGAGAAACCACACCATCCCTGAACCAATGTAGCCACAAACGTCATCGTAGAGAACCGGGTTTGAGTATGTAAAAGTATCTGAAGGGCAACACGCTTTACCATATCATAACTTCTGAAGCCTCATAATACAAAGTAGCTATACTAATAAACCTCTCAACCTAACATACTCCTCTTCCTTCCCCTCAATCTAACCCCTTCTAACCTCTTTAGTACACCCCTCGCGCCCTTGCCACACTCCCCATACGCCTTAAGCACTTCCTGGAATAGCGGCTCCGCAGCTGGATGTGTAGCTGAGAACGCCCTCTCAAGGACGTACAAATCAACAGCTTTGTCTTCGTCTTGTATGCTAGCTGTTGTGAGACCGAAGTCGATGAGAAAAATGTCGCCAGCTAGCGAGGTGGTATTGGACTCTTGCGGAGGGTTCGCGGGAGGTAGGTCTGGAGGTTCTTCGCCGTTCATGGCTGCTTCGCGGAGGGTGCTCGTTGTCTGCTTTCCTCGTGGTGTTTGCCGTTGCTGTTGTGCTGGCCTATCTTGCGACTTGGGTGTTCGTAACATGATGTTGCTTGTTGTGAGGTCCCCATGACATACTCCCAGTTCGTGTAGCTTGCCTACTTCCCGTCCTACCCTTCGCATCAGGTCTAGTATCTCTTCCTGTCCTTCCTGTGCTTCTGCGTTACTGCTCTCGGCTGTCTCTCCACCTCTAGTCTCTGTGTATTTCTTCTCTTTTTCTCTCTGCGTTACTTGATGTGCCCACCCGTCCAACACTTTCCTCACAGTCCTGCCATCCACATACTCCAATACCAACCATCCCGCATCCCAGTCCGCGCCAGTCACCCCTGGTACATTGACACCATCCCGCTTCACCCTTATAAGACTTCTTGCCTCAGCTAGTAACCTCTGCTTTGTAAGGCGCTTGTCTAGGGTAGGATGTCTGTATGGCTTTGGTGGCCGGTATTTGACAACGACGGGCGTGTGGGGCGTGAGGAAAGTAGTCTTGTACACAAGGGCCTCAGCGCCTTGTGTTATTATTTCGAGCGCATCCTGGGAGAAAGGCGCGGGGAGCGTGTGGAGGGGACGCGACGTCTCGGGCGGTGGTGGGGGTTCGATTGGAGGTACCACGGGCGGCTCGGCCATTGCGATGTGGTTCGTATTGATGGGCGTGGCTTGCTGCGAGTTCTTGGTTGTGTGTATGATCAGAGGATGACGTGTTGAATACGCAGGGCGTAGGTGAGTTCGGGGTGTGTGGTGGTGTGTGGTGGTGTATGTAGATATTTCGATGTTGACAATGGAAGCTTCGCAGTTGCCCCGCGATGCGACACCAGCTTTCAGCCCTGTCACGCTTATCGATTCTTTAGCTTCAACACCACGCGAGCATCATGTCGATCACCGTTCAACAGCCATGGAGAAACTACAGTACCGAGATTAGCTTCTGCCTTGACCGAGTCGCCGTTGAGCACAGATGGAGATGACTTCTCCGGATTTGCACTCATTTCATGAGATTGCGAGCTATGTCACGGACATACAAGGGTTGCTGCTAGCCAGTGTCTGATTTTCCGGGGAAAGTGACCCTTGAGTCGAATCATAGGCCTCATCTCACAATTGCGGAGCGTGCGTTTTGGAAGCGAGTGTGATTGCACTTAGGTATCTCATCCTACATGATCCACTCTTCCTTGTGCATCGCCTTGTTGCGGCGGAAGCGAATGGATTTGGTCAAAAGCACAGTATCTTCCAACAAACAATGGTAACACAAAACTGAAGCCCCAAGAAGGCAGTGAGCTCTAGCCACAGGCCATTGAGCTCACGTCCATAAAGCATATCCCAAGTCGCCCGTCCAAATCGCCGAGCCAAAAACCGTAGAGCCTTCCCGCCATGCTCATTAAAAGCAGTTCGCATAAGAGTCTGGGAAACAAGAAGAAGGGGTGGAAAAGGAGATCTTCCCAATGGGCAAGAGACGAATGGTAATCGTGATATTCGAAAGATGGCAAAAGTGACCTTGGTCAAATGCAACAAACAAATGAACTAACAAACAAGGAAAGTTTCGTAATGGGCCGTAACAAGAGGCGTCCGGAGAGCGCCACAGTAATATGCACAGGGGAATGGATTCCCAGTTTTTCTTTCCAATCCATGGTTGATAGCTTAGAACACAGTGCTCTTGCGCTTCTCAGCGCTGGTAAGAACAAGCTTGGGCATGCGGCGTTGGCCGTTCTCCTCGGGACGGATGTCGACCAGGCCGCCTCCAACGGAAGCACCGTCGTCGCTGCTGACACTGTTGGCGGTGTAGGAGCGGTTGATGGAGTTGTCACGAGAACGCTCCTTGGAGGCCTTGCGCTCTGAGCCAATGGCGCCGTTGGCAACAGCGCGGAGGCTGCCGATGCTGGGCCTGCCCGAGAGGCTGCCACTTCCTCCGCTGCGAACACTGTCGGAGTCATTGTCGGACGAAGGGAAGTGGTCGCTGTCTGGCGAAGCGCTCCCGCTGCCGGTGCGATGAGCGCGGCGGCCGATGCCAGCACGCACAAGGTTGCCCACAGCCTGGCGACGTTGACGAGTCGCAAAGTTCTTGCTACCCTCATGCTTGGTAGTGGGACGCTCCTTGAGTTCCTCAATGGAAGGAGGGTTGCGAGGCTGACGAACTGGGTGCTCTCCAGCGCGTGCTTGACCAGGGCCGAATGTGCCAGTCATCGGGGTGGCAGGGAAGCCGACCGGGCGGGTGAAGGCAGAGCGAGGACCCTCCTCGGCCTTGCCATCAACAGCAAGAGAAGACAGGTTCTTCTTGTGACCGCGGCGGAAAGCGTTGGCAGATGGCGGTGGGAGCGGGACTACATCCTGGGGTGGGGTATTAGACTTCTTCGGCGGCGAAGTGCTACGCGAACCCCAAGGGCTGGGGTTGCTCTCGTTAGGAGGAGAAACGTGAAGCACTGGCGTATCAACCTTGGGCGGTGAAGTAGCGAAGCGGGGAGTTGGCGGCGGCGGCGAGTGCGACAGACCCGACATGCCGTTCTGAGCCTGCATGTTGCCGTTGTCTTGCTGGTAGCTCGGGTCAACGACGTACTGGTACTGACCAGTCATCTGGTTGAAGACAAGGTAGACACCAGGCTGATTGGTCTCCTGGATGGCAGCGGTGTTTCCAAACTGCTGACCGTAGGCGTTCATCTGGGGAGTGTACGGCGTGTTGGGGTACTGCTGTCCGCCGCTCATGTTCATGTTGCCGAACTGCTGGGTGGTCAGAGCAAGGAGTTGTTGCTGGAGCTGCTGCTGCCTCTGGGCGAGGTAGAGCTCGGTAGCCAAGAGCTGAGCCGCAACGTTGGGGTCCATCTCGCCGTCATCGAACTCAAATTGGGGAGGGGCCAGGACCTGGTTGTAGAAGTCGGGCTGCTGCTGTTGCTGCTGGTACTGGTTGACACCGCTGAAGCCAGAACCAATGGCAGTCTGGGGACCACCCTGGTTGGTTCGGTTGAACTGCGTGGAGTTGTTGGCGTTGTTGTTGCCAATGTTGTGCTGGCGCTGCGAGTAAGGAGCCGAAGCAGGGGGCTGGGCAGACGTGGGAGTCTTGGGCGCAGTGCGAAGGCCAGCCAGGAGGTGGGAGCGGCTGGTGCGAGGAGTCGCAACCGAGTCCTCGGCGATGGAGGCAACCTTGGGCGGCGAAGCGACGCTGAGACGCTTAAGCTGAGCGCCCTTGCCGCGAGAGGCAAAGCTCGAGGTGGGACCGCCAAAGCCACCCTGGGATTGGAAGTTGTTGTAGGTCATCTGAGCAAGACCGCCAGCGTCCATGCTCATTGTGGTGGTCTAAGAAGAGTTGCGAAGAAAGAGTAAGGGTGAAAGATACAGAATCGAAGAAGGCCGGACGAGGGAGTGTTGGCAAGACGGAAAACCGAGCGTGCACCGACGAGATGTTTGCTGTGAGGCAAGGGTGCAAATTGGCTGGCGATTATGGGATTAAGGATCGTACAGATCAGGATTGTAAGGTAGAGTTGATATCGAAAACCGGCCGATGGGCAATGTAGTTGGAGCTATTAACAAGTTCTTCGGGCGCTGAGTCGTTTGATGTGCTGTCAGAAGGATCGAGTGGTGACGGCAGAAGGCGCGGTCTGGTAGCAGCGAAGATATTTATGAAGGGGAATAGACGAACAGGCAGCGACGGGATCAAGGGCAGACAAGCTGGTGGTTGATGCGTCGGCTGGCGAGCTCTTATTCTCTCGGGGGAGCGACGGGACTGGCGCGCTCGCACAATCTCAGATTAGGCGGGGGATAAGCTGGTCCAACTGGGGGAGCAGGTAGAAGATGCAGAAGCGGCACTGTGTTGTCGAAGAGAGCGAAGGGAGAGAGGTAGAGAGGAAAGGGCGAGATGGAGGGGCCAGGAGAGAAAAGTGACGAGCAGCGGAGAAGCAGCGAGCCATGGACGAATGCGAGCGCTATAAGTGACGGGGGACCTGTGGCAGCGACAGTGACCCTGCATCGAGCCTAGCGTCTGCAGGCCCCCTGGCCGCGCTGGACGCACGCTTGAAACGCTGGGCCTGATGCGTAATGACTGCGCTTGGGCCGTTCCTGCGTGCGAAGGCCCTCGTGTGCGAGCATGTCGCTTTGATGCCGTTACGATGCATTGCGGGAAGTTGAGTGCTGCTACTGTACACAAAGCGTTCGCTGCTCTCGCAGGTTTCAGGCGCTGGGCGTCATTTGCGGCATGCTCGCTCCTGCCGCACCTGGCGAGGGCCCTGAGCGCTCCTGCCCGACGCCACGAGCGTACCTTCCTCGCGGCGCACCCACCAAGGGCAAGAGCGACTGGCAAACAGAACCACCGAAACAACGTCTTCTCATTGCTCGAGCCCGCCGCCCACGAGCACACCGCAAGACGTGATCCACTGCATCGATAGCGTCTATCTACGCCATCTCGGCCAGTCGTTCGTAGCGTCCCAGTAGTTACCAACGGCGGCTATGCGCCTGCGCGCTGCTACTGGCCAGTCCCATCGCGGCCACCGCAGCCCTTCAGCCACGCACACTCGCTCTAAATATACCCACCACCACCTGTTCATCAGCTCCAGCGACACTTCTGCAAAGGCATTGGTGTGCACCCGTCTCTTCTCCGCAACGATGAACAGCGTGGCATGCGCATGAATGGATCCACGCTCTGCACACGCCATCTCAAATCATTCACCTGTCTGTCAGCAGTCAGCTTCCAAATGTCCGCATCTCCCACGCGCAATCTGCAATGCATGTCGTGCGGGAGGAGCATGCTTGTTGGCGTGTGCCGACCCCGGACCTGGCTGCTGTCACGCTCCCACTGCAGATCCAGCGAGATGCTCGGTGCCTTGGAAAAAAAGGGACTCGATTGCGAGGCCGCTCCATCTTTTTTACACGCGTCGGCTTCCGCGGTCTTTCAATCGACTCGTGCCACTGCTCGTGCGACCCCTTCTTCGCTGTCGCCTGCCGTTTCGTCCCGGGTCTACCCTGCTGTCTCGCTGTGAAACTGTCGCTCCGTCTCAACCACCGCAGCCCGTGCGCCGCTCCCTCATCTCGCTAGACTCTCCCTGCAGCAACGCCTGCCAAGCCAGACTCGAAAGCGTGAAACATGCTCTCGTTGTCCTCACCTAGCGTTTGGGCCGCCGAAGCTGTGGGATGCGGAAGGCGTGCTGTCAGGGCCATGCTTGAACGCTGATCTCTGTTCGCGTGTGGGGACAACGCCCCTTCGTATGAAGAAGTCGTCAGACAACTCACAGGTATGTATCATCGTCCAAGCAAGCTCACCAGTCGCGCCGCTTCCGCCTGCTGTACATCGTTAGACTCGCTTGTCATTCGCGAGACTATCGAATCTAGCACCGAGGCCATTCGGAATGAACCCGGCTACCGGTATCGTATTGGCAGCCGTTCGGTCAGAGCCGCCGTCTTTAGCGGGCAGTAAGACTGCTTACGTCCGAACCGGCCGATTGTCCTTCGAAAAGAACCTCATCAGAACGCTTTCGTTCTGGACCGGAAGCCAGCGGCAATGATTAGTGGGGCGCATCAGCCCGTTCGGGAGCGCAGAAAAAGGGCAGGAGTGAGGCGCAGTACTAGACACGACAAGCCAACACGAGATTCATATGCCTCGAGGTTGGAAGGCTTCACAAGTCCAACATAACAGTGCATTGCAAAGTCAGCATCGTCACACGTCTTGTTCAGACGAGCTCCCTCACCAGACAGACAGCTCCTGCACCATCAGCGCTTGAGTACGCGCTTGCGCAGCTCTGTTTCACGAACACGATCGTCGAAGCCGTTGGAAATAGTGTGCCTCTGGCGCCGCAAGGCTGCATGTTTCGAAATGTCCAAAGCTTCTCGCCCACACATCCGTAGACCTCCAATCTTTGCCTTGGTTCACCAGTACGATGTCACGCTCCCACTGGATCGATGCTATTGCACGTTATCGATGATTTATAGATCAATCGGATCCCTCCATGTCCCTTTCATTATAAAGAGTGAGAGACTGAGCAACAAGCAAGTCAGCCCTATCGCCTCGTCCATGCTTAGCACAGTCTCGAGGTAGTAGAGTGAGGGAGCGTCCCCGAAGGTCTGGCCTCCTTCATGAGATGGTAGGGAGTGCGCATCAATATGAAAGAGTCGACATGTCGTCAGCGCAATGGAGAGTAAGTTCGTCAGTTCATCTGTCGCTGACGGATAATTTGGAAAACCGACGCCGTTTGACTGATGATGTTCCCGTACTATTTGGAACGTGTTAAACAAGAGGAACGACGCTCTTGCCTGGGATCGCACAGCCAATCGTCCAGTCGCATCTAGGAATCGTCCTGTCACTTCTAGCAACTGTCCAGTCGCATTTGAGAGATCTTTGACCCACTAGTAGTGTTTTCGCATGTTTGACACTTGGCATGAGACTCGGCACGAAACATCTGACACCACATGTTCATATGGCTCTTTTTAACAGACTTTTCTCAAGTGTCGCGAACATCAGGCAAACTGTTTCGATCTGCATAATCGCCCGTTTCCCCAAGTTTGTGGCAGCGTCAGTGACGGAGCGAGGAAGGCTCCCAGGCATGCAAGAGCAGAGTATATAGTAACCCTCCACGCGGCGCATCTTCTAAAAATCAGATCTGCAGTGCATTTCCCATCTTCTACTATCACCTTCTACTACCATCGATATTTCTACAGCATCTTTCTTAATATCCACTATTACTCTGAATTGTCATCCTGACATTTCGACTTAATCCAAATCATCTCGACCTAATACAAATCACCCCAAACTCATCATGCTTTTCTCGAACATCGCAATTGCGGCTTTGGCCCAGAGCTTGACTGCCTCCGCTGCCACCATGATGGTCACGGTTGCTGCCAACAACAAGTTCCAGTTTACGCCAAACTCTATCGTTGCCCAACCAGGCGACATGGTTGCTTTCAATTTCGTTAGCCAGGTACGCAACTGCTTCCATCATTTCATCCGTCAAATTACATCAAGTACTGACTCTATCCTCACAGAACCACAGTGTCGCTTCCTCCGACGCAAACAGCCCCTGCCAGCCTCAGGCGAACGCCATCTTCTCCGACTTTCAGCCCATTCCCGGTAACCCCAACGGCTCCCCTGGTGCAGGTGGTGCAGGTGGTGCAGGTGGTGCTGGCAATGCCGCTGGAGCTGCCGCTGCCGCTAACGGCAACGGTAAAGGAAACGGCCGTAACCGCAACAACAACCGCCAAGCTGGAAACACGCCCATGTTCATGGTCCCCATCGTCGATAACCAGCCCATGTACATCTACTGCTCGCAAGCCCAGCATTGCCAACAAGGCATGGTCATGGTCATCAACCCGCCCAGCGCTCAGGCCGTGACGCAATACCAGAACCTCGCTGCTCAAGCAAACAACAACGTTTCTCCCCAGGGTGGCATCAGCGGCGGACAGGTCGTCAACAACCTTGCTGGAACCACTCCCAAGAGCGTCCTCGGTGGTACGGCTGGTGATGCGGCGACGGCAGCAAAGGCGGCCACAAAAGGCAATGGCAAAGGCAAGGGTGGCGGTGCTGCTGGTGGTGGTCTTGCTGGATTCCTTGCGGGCCTTGGTAAGAACAACGCCGTCGTTGAGACCAACTCCAAGAAACTCTTCGGCTTCCCCGGTGCTGGTGCTCTTGGTGCTGGCGCCCTCGGTGGTGGTGGCGCGGCAGCGGCCCTTGCTGGAGCTGGAGCTGGTGGTGCTGGAGGTGCTGGCGCAGCTGCGGGCGGTGGTGGTGCTGGTGCCATTGCTAAGAGTGGACTCAAGGGTTTCCTCAATGGACTTGCTCAGGGCGCCAACTAAGCATTTAAATAGGTTGTTTTATCTAGTTGAGTAGGATGTTGTGGGTATGGGATTGGAGCTGTATGGTACAAGCACGACGATATCGATGGTAGTAGAACAAATGCTGGTCATTGGAATGTAAATAGTGGTAATACATATCTTATGAACTTATCGGAATGCCCTCTATGAATTTGATGAGCATGTTGCTGAAAGTTGGGTTGGTAGCAGTGACGTCACGCCCGTATTCTCAACTAGCTATTGTTCAACCACGCTCATTCACTCGGAAGTACACATCGGACGCAGCATGGGCTACAAATTTTTAGCCTATCTAAAGCTTTGAGAACAATACTGAGTGCTCGATACCGCCATACGTCGTCACTGACAGGGCGCATGTCATTACTATCGGAGTCGCAAAGCAAAGTGAGGGTAAGTTCACATTTGTATCCAGAATAATAGCATGAAGCCGAAATATTCGCCGTACTTTGTCCAGCACAGCTTCACCTGCTATGTTCTATGCGACGGTACAATGGTAAGCGACAACAATGGTAAGCAGGTAGACACCTAGCAGTTCACTGTCCACGCGCCTACATAGACCTTGACATCAACTTCTTCTAGTCTGCAGACACAAACACTCTTCCTTTACTCTTCTTCTACCAGTCAATATATCGATACAACCACCGACCGAACTACGAGCATTCCCTCCAAGCACAACCAAGCACAACATCGACACCAAAGTTCACAACCCACACCCGTCAAACACAACGACACGATGGTTGAAACCATCTCAGTGCTGCTGGCGCAGCTCACAATCTTCTACCTCCTCACCAAGACCCTCATTTCCAGTCTCGACTTCCCCATCCTCAGCATCTCCATACTCGTCAATGACATTAGACGGCCCCCATATCCTCTTCCAGACACGGGACCTCCAAAGAGCCCTGTCTCTGCATCATCTGCCCTTTATCCTCTGAAAGTCGTCTTTGTTCCATCTACCCAGGCCCAATTCCAGCACAAGCCACACAACATCAGTAGCAAGCAACGGGCACCAAGGATGAAGAAGCGAAAGTGCAACATTACCCCAAAGATCAACGTGATACCAGCTCCCGGTATTCAGTGTGCGACTATGTGATGGAGAGTTGAGAGAGAGATCGAAGGGAGTTGAGCGCTGGTTCGCTTACACCTTGTCCTCATCATGGTATGTTAATTGTATTCTCACTATCTGTATACTTTTCACTGATTATCATGGCAGACTTGCAGCAGTGAGCGCTGGTGGACTCTATGGTGTCTGGGATGCGTCGGGGAATGGGAAGATGCGGAATTCCATGTTCACGTTATGCGGAGGATTGATGGAGGGCTTTGCCACACGTTGCTTTTTCCTTCCAGACACGATCGAGGATTTGGGTCAATTGTACATCACCATCGTACCACGCATAAAAAACCCGGGATACTTCTCAGACGATGCCACTAGTTGTCCTAGAGCTTGAATTCTACCACTCCTCTATATGCAAAGTAATATGTGAAATCTTATCTATTGGAACACGTCTCACCCATCATGTACCCTCGTGGCTTCGTCGCACTCAACGACGCTTGCCCAGCATCTCCACACCCAAACCATCCTTGCCTTCCTCACGTGTAATTTGTTCCGCAGCCTTGACGAGATCGTATGTAATGTCGTCTCCAACAACGCTATCTTTCTTATACTTTGGATGCGTTTGGACAAAATGCCTAATCCACTTGGCCGCAGTCCAGTATGTACCATTCGCGCGTTTACGGATCAAGTCCAGGTAGGTGGCAAGATCGCAGCGTGTTTCGACATCGACGTTCATGCTGTTAAGGTAGGATTCAACAAGTGGAATGAGACCCGGGAAGCCATTACCATCCGCCGTAGTTTTCCCGTTGATGACTTCGTTAATAGTCATCTGCTCGTATTCGTCTTCCACTGGGCCAGTGGGTGTCGCCGGGCGACTAGCGTTTCCAGCCGGTGTAGACGTACCCGTTCCGCCAGACTTGTGTGCCGAGAAAGGGTCCTTTCGGAACCAGAACTTCTGTGTTGATACAGCGTCGCGAATGTGCGCTGTTTCCATGTTCTCGCTCACTAGCGTGATGGGGATGTAGAAGTTGAGGTTGAACGAGAGAATAGCACGGGTCAAGAGCACAATGAAGATCGAAAATGCTGCATTTTCGAAATCTGTGATTTGGATCTCCATGGGCCGGAACTCGACGCGCCAGCCCATATCGGAACCAGCTGGCGGTGGCTTGAAGCGCATGTGCTGCCAATTGGTCGACTGCAGGTTTTCGAAGTGGTCGGCCTTGGTAAGATCCAACTCTTGAAGATCTTCGGCGAAAACGACAATGGGGTCGCGGATGAACAGGTGAGCAAAGTGTGTCGCCAGGAGATCGTCCATGCCACCCTCGACTAGTCGCTGCTTGATGTCGCTGTCAATGATGAGATTCGGATCAAGATACTCAGGGCGCAGGCGAGGATCTTGGGAGATGTAGGTTGAGTTTGATGCGTAGCGAGATTTGGGTAGTCGCCATCGGTCGTTCTTGAGCGGCTACGACATGTCAGCGGATTGACAATACTCAACAAGCAGATGATTTACCTTCTCCCCAAGTTCTTCGGGCGTACGATCATCGACCGCCCTGCTAATCTGGTTCCACCGCACATCAGTGTCGGCCAGGAAGCCCTTGTAGATTGGGGTCGCCGCCGTCAATGCTAGCAGGATAGGTGCTATCGGACTGAGCTGGTCGTACATCTTCCGTCCCTCTTCAATGTTCTTTGCTTGGAAAGTGATCTGCAGACAGCAGCTTCCCATGCCAAAAGCCATGGCATCCATGTGGATGTAGTTGGCCTTGGCAGCACCATTGCGCACGTCGTCATCTTCAGGCCAATTGTGCATGTCATAGTTAACTGTAGGATCCTTCCACGGCCATGGCGTGTTCTCGTCCTTGAAGACTGGGACGTTTACTTCAACCTTCCGGCCCCTCCGCCAACGAATGTTTGCTGCCAGTGTGGGAAAGCGAATGTGTGGATTGGCAATTTCATCCGGAACGAACTGGGAGCGCAGCTTGGGTCCTGAAACAGGATATGATGGTACGATACAATCGGCCGATCCAAGACGAGGGAACGTTGTTAATGTGATTGGAAATTCGGTCTGTGCCATGTGATCCTTCGCTATGGTTCGTCTGCAAGAAAGGTGAGCAATCACTTCATCGACGATGAGGTGGTCTGATCTACCTCCATTTCATGTTTGGTTCAACGTCGAGCAGATCTTTGAAGCCAATGCCCCATGGCTTCCCAGGAGTCGCTTCGAGCATGAATCTGCCGAACTCGGGATGGAACACTGGTGCCGGGTTCTCCTTCGCGCTGCCATGGTCAGTACAAGACGACCAGTTTGGACAGTCAGGCTCACTCGGCGTCTCCGGTTTGCAAGTCAGGCACTCCGCCGCCCTGCTGCAGAAGCTTCTCGTCGTTGGCCAGCGCAGCTAGGATATCAGCCTGACGGAGCGACAATCGGACCTTGCGGTTGTCTTGGTCATAGCAAACAACCAAGTACTCGATCTAGACGCCAGTCAGTCATCGACGCTGCAACAGACGAGCGCATGGTGATCCTTCACCTCATCTCCCCAAAGAAGTGCATCCCTCTCCTTGCCTTTAGCATTGCGCCAGATAGCGAGTAGTTGCTGCCAATCACATCAGCACGCGTTCCTTGCGGGTCTCGTCACCGAGCATACTTCAATTCCCCATGACCTGACCTGGCCAGCAACTTTCTTGGCCTCTGGCCAGTCAAGCGGCGTTCCAAGGGCACTTGATATGGCATTAGCGAGGGCGGCGCGCAAAGTAGCACGGATCTCACAGCAGACCCATCCCCAAGTTCTGTAAGGCGTTGCGGTAGGCAGTCCAATGCGGGTTGGTGCACGGGCGGGCCGAGCAGGCGTGTGAATGGGTGGCTTCTCGTCTTGAACGGCGATTGCGGGGAGGTGTTCGGGGAGCACCGCAGATTATAGGACGTTTAGCGGGGGTTGATGCAACGCAGTGCTTTTGCGACTTTGGATGCGCTGCAGACGCCTCGGTTTCCTGCGTTGTCAAGGGACCGTCGAATGGCGGACGATTGAAGGAATAACAGTTTCTACGCGCTCCACTGGCATCGACGGGCAATTTGCAGAGCTAGAGTCGGGTGTATGGATTATTAATGCGCGATGCAGTAAGCAATTCCTGTGGCCCCTTCCGAGGAGGAAAACCCCGCCGATGACGCTTGCCTCTTTGGTAAGCTGGTCACGACATCAACTCATTGTGACACTTCTGCTGTGCGCGCAGTCCATCTTTCCCTGCGCAACATGGTTGGGCATCCTGACAGCGAGCCCGGATGTACAAATGCGCACGGCGTGTTATCCTGCTGTCCACAAGCTGCGCCTCGCCTACCGCTGTTTTCGACCACGTGCACGCATGTCGCTACGCCGTGCAGAGCCCTCCCACTGGCGCAAGAGCAAGTCGCGTACCTAGGTAGAGAATCCCGATGATGTACGTTGCGAAAGGTTCCCCTGCGATACCATTGTCGCGGGCCGCGGGCACCGGTGGCATGATACCGACCGCGCCGCAAATATTGGCTCCAAAAGCATCGACGACATGTCTCTTCTTCGTGCTACCAAGCCGGCTCATTTCTTGGGCGGTGGTGTTTTCTGGGCTAACCAACCGCCTTTGCGGTACTGCACGAGCAGGATCGGCTGCTGCTAAACGTGCCGCACACTCGCCATCGTCGAGGTGCACATCGCGTTGCATATTGGGGGCACCAGAACGCAAGGTTATCGTGTCCTCGCTACTCTAGCCCTTCTGCAGCTACTTGGGTTGCAAGGTGCGACTCCGATGAATTGTTATTTGACAGATGATACAATATGCGGGCAGCCTGTTTATATTGGGATGAGCCTGCGTCAGTCGTGGACTGTGGGGCGAGCGCTGCGGAACCATTCTTCATACACTCGAGGAGCAGCCACTATGATGTGACAGTGATGCGCAAAGTGAAACAGGATATAAGGTATTAACTTCTAGATTCAATAGCTTCTACGTCGCTAGGCCTGAAAGCCGGTGGTATCTCTTTATAAACGCCTGTCAAAATCCCCAAAGGCTCGCACACTTCTAGTAAAGTGTGTCGCGCAAGAATGCCTAGAAGAACAGTAATCGTGAGATGGTAAGCGCTTGTTTCGGCGCACCGAAACGCCCAACCTATGATCGAGCCATCCTAGCAGATGGTGATGTACAGAAAACGCCTTCAGCCAGTCCGCGGACCTGGAAACCCTTGTGTATGTGCCAAAATGCAACTGCTACTACTAAAAGACAAGCGAGAAATAGACCGTAGTATACGTAAAGCCCTAGTGCTGAGCGTAGCATGAAGTTCTGGGGCCGCTGTAGACAACATCAGTGTATTGACACAGAGGCACCGAGTCTCCCGGTTCGCCGTCTCCTTCAGAGTCGACCAAGCCGTCTTCAAATGACGTCCCTAAAAAATGGTATATGGGCCCGCCGAAAATGTGAATGATGTAGGGTCATGGTCTCTAGTAAGACCTGCCAGTAGGCATGGGCCCTCTTTGTAAATGCAAGCAGTATCTGCGCCAACACTCCTATGTAGTGAAGATGATGGGGACGTGTGAAGGTGGTGACAAGTCCAAGAAAAATGTCGAAGCAAATATGTACGGCTCCAAGAATGATATGTCGGTTGTGGAAAATTACTGTGGTCGATAATCACATCGTCGGTGAACCATGGTCAATGGATTTGGGTCGTAAGTTTGAGCTGGTCATGGCTTGCTTACCACCCATCTTGCGGGTTAGCTTTGCATAGTCTGGAGGCAGTGTTAGTCTGGGAACACATATACTAGCGTGGGCTGGCAACTTACGTAGACCGCAAGCATTGCACAAGGTCCTGGCGCCATCTGGCCCTCTTCGCCACTCAGGAGTCTCAGCTCTATTACAGCTATGGCATCGACCTGGCGGCGCAGCTCGCTGTCAGGTGTCAGTGAGAGTTGTCAGTCGATCGGGTGTGGAGCACTTACGCCTCGTTTGCGAGTCTTGTTGTCGCCGCCAGCAAAGCCGCCCATGGCTTTGTTGTCGTCACCATAGTTGCTTGCATTGTCATCGTAGCCATTCATCGGTCTATACCGTGGATCCTGAGGAGGCTCCACAATGCTCGCCTGTTGATGATTGAAAACAACGTCTCGCATTCGCTGAAGGGACATCTGAATCCTCTCACTTTGCTTAAGCATATCGTCGACCTCTTCTAACCGGGGCATTGATTGTGGTGTCATGCCAATGCGCTGGTTCTCATGCGCGCGCTGTCTGTAGATCTTCGAAAACTCTGCAATGCGTCCGGATCCGTCGGCCATCTCGTTGAGGGAAGCCTCAAGATCGAAACTCTCTAGATGGCGCTTGACTGACTCACCGTATGGAGCTAGACTTGATCGGCCGATCTTCTTCTCTTCCAAGCGAGCCATATCGGAGTTGTCCTGCCACGTTTGTGGGGGGTAACGGGGTGGGGCAGAGTAAGTTGAGCTTGCCGGTGGGTAAGCAGAGTTAGGAGCACTTGCTGAGGGAACCGATGAAGGATAGCCAGGAGGATACTGCGTGTAGGGATAATGATGGTTCATGGGTCCCGCTGATGGAGGAGCAGGGCTCTCGTAGGTGGCTGGTGGTGGCGGATATGACGGATATGAGACGCTGGGGCGAGTTGCGCTCGGTGGCGGGGATTGCGTGGTCTTCAGTGGGTGAAGGGCAGGTAGTTTTGAGTTGTGTTGGGGGGTGGAATACGGTGGCCGTGGATCTGAGAAGGGCGGACGAGGCAGGGCTTCTGACTGGACCTGAGGCGGCTGTCGGGAGACTGTGGGTGATGCTGGGGCCCCGACAAATGGACTTCTTGGGTATGTGAATGGGTTGGACGGTCCTTGGCTGGCGTGCTGTAGGTCAGATGGAAAGTGTCGTGGCCGTGGTTCAGCGGGAGAAGCCGCAGCAGATTGGGGATGATAATGCTGAGGAGCTGAAGTGATGGCTGAAGGTGGAGGAACTGTAGCTGGGAATGGCAGCGGCTGTTCCGAACCTAGGGCTTCATGTATCGATGGCAGGGATTGCCGGGCCGTCGGTCGCTGCGACTCTTTCTCGTCGCCAGAGGTCCTGCGTGAGTCGGGAGGAGACAGTAGGCCTCCAAGCGAGCCGGGTACTGCGCTGGCGACTGACAATTGGTGATTGCTGTGCAGATGCGGCGGTCCCGCGTAGGGGTGCAACGGGCTGGGCATGGTAGCAGCAGCGGCGGCAGAATGTTTTCTTTGATACTCGACATCTTCGCGCTTGACTCTATCGGCGTCCATGTGGTTGATAGACGGCAGGCCAATGCTACGGCGGACAGTTAGCACCCGTACGTCGGGAAGGGAGCGGGGGGCCAAACAACATACCTTTGCCTGTTGCCGGCATCCAGGGTCTCCATGGTGGGTCCTATGTCGGACAGGTCGTGGTGGTGGGATGCGACAGCGAACTGCTGCGGCAACGCGATGGCGGGGAATTGTGGGTGCCGCGACGTTGATGTACCTTCCCGCACAACGTCGACCCGCACGAAAACCTGAGGTCGTTCCTTCCCGCACAGCGTCAATCGCCACGAAGCGTCTCACTTTGCTCTTTCTTCCGTAAGCGTGGCCAAGCAATTCAGTCCGACTCTTCCAAGCCCCACCAGTGGTGTTGCAATTGCAGTCCAAAGCCGGCTTTCAACAGTGGCGACGTCGGGAATCTGTTTCTTCAACGAGTGGATCGGTAGCCAGGCAGAATATAAGATGTTGTTGTCGCTGCCGCTCTTTCTCTTGTCGATGCTGTGGCTGACGTAGTGTCGCGGGCACGGCGGCCGTGGAAGGATCGCTTGCGTCGATACACACTCAATACCGCACTATGTGTCCGTCTCTTGCTGTGCGTCGCTTTTGGTGCTCCGAGGTGGCGCTGGTGTGTTGATGTGGAAAAGAGATGGGCAGGTGTGGCATGGACGGAAGAGCGGCGATCAGGCAAAACCCGTGATCTCACAGCACACTACGCGGAATTCAGCGCCTCCTCTATGCCTGCAGGCATGGTGTGAGAGGAGACGAGGGCTAAGACAACCGCAGCGGGCTAAAGCAGATGCGATCGGAGATGAACCGCTCCGGCAGCAAGTAGTCGCTCAGTGTGACGAGGATGTGCAGCGAGCGGACTAGGATGCTCTGGATGCGGCACGTCTGTTTGCCCCCAGCAAGGATGTGGGTGGAGAGGGCGGTCGCTGGGTGTTCTTGATGCAACACTCGAGCGCTCCAGCGGACTCCTAAAGCGTCCACCCAAAGGGCAAGGATATGCGACACGCCATGCCCGCCCTTGCAACGCTTGCCCGATCAGATCGCGCGGCCCCCTAAAAGCAGCAAGTCTGATTTTTCAAGGCGCCATGGCGATGCTGCATGACGGGCCCACGTCCGTTGGGCGGTGGCGGCTTGGGCGTGGGCTGGCTCGTCGCTATTTCTTCTGCTCGATCCGCAGCCGTTACGACCAGGGACAAGCATCGCGACGGCCATCCGCGCAAATGGGCACCCCGCGCACACGAGGTAAGATGCCCCCATGCCCAAACGGGACCAGCCCGCCGCCCTGGCACGAATTATCGTTGTGGCATGCAATCGAGATGCAACCGAGCTTCCATCATGCATCCACCCCGGCCTGCACCCACGCCTGTCCTGTCACTCCGTCCCTTGGCGCCCACAGCCAGCGAACTGTCACCTACCAGCGCCGACGCCTCGCACAGCACTTTGTCGGTACCGATGCCCTCCACTGCTGTCACTTGTTCCCGCGGTGCTTCAAGTCATGTGTTGGGCACCAGCTCTTCGCCGGCCGTCTATCGCAACTTCCTGTCAGGCACTTAACCTGACACCACTTCGGGAATCTCCATCGCCACAGGGGTGCCCGCACATCTGAATCGGTGGCAGTGCGATTAGTGCAGCGGGGGTGCGGACGCCAGAAGCGCCCTCACAGAAAAAGGCACATGGTGCCGAAGAACCATCTCAGCTCGCCAGATCCCATCGGCCCGACAGGCTTCGATTCATAAACTTCCATCAGACGTCTGAGCCAGTCTTATCGCGTGCATTTGGCGCGTCTATTGATCAGCCCATTTCTTGCCATCGCTCTGTCCCACTTCTGCTTTCCAAGCAGGCTTCGCATGCGTACCTCCTGGTTACGTCAGTAGTCGCTAAACCCCCCCCCCCCCCCCAACTATCTGCACTGGCTCCATCTTGCTCCGAACCATGCAACTCCAAGCGCTTGACCGTTGACGCCTACACGTGTTTAGTGTAACGCATAGAAGCACCTCCTGCACGACGGCATCTTGGTGCGTTCGCGTCTGTCAAACGTTCGTGCTACGACTGATGCGCTCCGGCGCTGTCAAGTAAATATGTTCAGACCGTAACCGACCCAAAGATGGCTGGCACGCTATCAACAAGTCTCCGTAGCGATCTAGCTGTACCAGTGGGACCGTCAGCCATCTACGCTCGTCATCTCTTACTACCCACGCTTTGTACCCTGCGAACCTTGATGCAACCATAAGGCCCTCTCGGTATGTTCCTCACGCCGGCTGACGACGGTCTGAGCATCTGCGCAAGCCGAGTGAAGTGACTGTCGGCGTCATCTTTCCGGTCCGGTCACCGTTCAACACCGCCCCGGATATTGAGTGCAACATGATCGTTGGGCGCCGCAGCATGCATCAAACCACCGATTCCATGTCTCACAGCCTTTGGGTACCTCTGCTCATCTTTACTATTCTCATGGCCGCCGCTCGTCCCATCCTGTAGTGGCTGCGATATGGATAAGGCGCAAGCATGAACGTGGTATCGGTGGCTTGTAACGTTGAGCCGGCGCAGACGCTCGGTTGCGCCATCGTTGAGTCTCGCTAAAACATCCTTCTATGTACGGTACGCCTTAACACAACGGCTAATTTTGGCTGACTTCTCGACACCACCTTGCAGCACGCGTCCGATTGACGAGCGTCCGATCCGGAGTCATGTCTGGATTTCCAAGCAGCCGGCATCTGACATGCGCCGGTTTGCGCAGTGTTACATGGTGCGAAATCCAATCATGCGCTGATGACCAACCCATGTCACTAATGGGCAGGGTCGAAAGCTCTGTTTCGTTTCAAAACGCACATTGTAAGGGATGAATCAAGTTCAAGAATCACCTCTCATATGGTTGCCGATTGAGAGGAACCTATGCTCAACATTTTGAAGGAATCGGACAGACCTGATCCTCATTCATTCTTGTGAACATATCCATGGATCCCAAGCTCAATGGTCGGCGTGAGCCACATGTACCTGACATAGGGTCCAGTTGTGACTTTCCTGTTGGAAGCAGACACCCTACCCTTGCATGTCCGGCACTTGGTTCAGTATCTGAATATGACCATGCAAAATGTATCGGTATATCGACTTCATTGGTCTCTCATCCTAGCTGTGTGTGTGCCCCGCAGTGTCATATCTGACAGGCGATGCCCCACATCTTCTCCGTTCGCGACAACGCTGAGAAGTCACTGGTTTCATAAACTGGAAAGCAATCACGGCAGACATGCTATATTGTACTTCTTCGGATTCTGTAAAGAGTGTGTCCCACTCTTGATTACAGTCAAGCCGAGAACGTGAGGAGCAAGTCATGTGGCCGACGTGGCCGCCTGTTTCCCGCGGCAAAAGTTGACTCAAAACTGGTGCGCATGTAGATATCGGTAAGCGTCGAGATGGTCCATGTGTGATTCACATGCTACGGCGTACTCTTTAGGTCAGTCACCACTAGTGAGACGAATCCTTACCAGAAGCACATGCTGTGCATGTCCCAGAAAAAAAAACGCATTGGTGCTTCTCGAAGTCTGACGCTGGACAGCGAATGGAGCCGGCAGAATATGCGACACATATTAAGCCTATCCTTGCAATAGCATTTCTATGCTGACTCGAGATCTCAATCATCTGCCCTGGCTCGGCGGGATCGTGATCTTGTTTCGGGCACACCCTTTTCGTCTGCTGCACCTGCAGCTGCATGTATCCGATTGTGATATCCAGGCTTAGCGGACGTCGGCCCAAATCGGTCTAATGTGCGCTGGCCGATTCGGTTTCATGCTTAAGCGACATGGTACATCACCCAGCATGCCGGTTCAGATGCATCAAGAGTATCGCATCGTACGACACCTGACGCAAGCTGCCAGTTGTGTTTCGAAATCTTCTCTTCTTCAAGCTCGAGCCTTGTCCGTCATCGGGCTTTTACTCCAACCAGGATGTGATCACCGTGCCCATGATTCCGGTAGAGGAGCCCGCGAGGCGCAGCGATTTTCGCCCGGCTCGTCGCGGGAAAGAGTAAACGTTTCTTGTCCCGCTCTCTCAGGGTCCGCATGGCACATTCAACCTCTTTTTGGCGACCTGCGTCAAGCAATGGTCGATCGAAATATAGAGCCGTCCGTCTCTCGTATTGATTGGAGATCTTATGGAGAAGTGGGCCTATAGGCGCGTAAGATCATTTCCCATGGCCACTCTAGGGAAATCATTGGCGAAAGGAATGTCGGTTTACGGAAGACCCTACTTTGTTGACGGTTGTCGGCGGCGATGCGTTGCGATCCTGCAGTCGGACGGCAGGAGATTTGTAGGTCGCGGACCTTCAGGCCGAGCACGTTCGTAGCGAAGCTCTGAGACTCCGCTGTTACGCACGAGCTTTTGCCATGGTGTGCGTCGCTCGACGCTTTCGTCTCAGTGGCAGGAACAGGAGCGCTGCTGCTTATGCCAAACGGGAAAGCAACATACCTTTGGGTAAGCCTGACACTGCCATCAGGCTGCATTCTTACCAGGATCTTGCTGAGTTTATTTTACGCAGCCGCGCACAGTCTTTACAAAAGACTTAACAGACGCCAATGGAATGCGGCAAGAGTCGACTCATGACATTTCATGATATCTTGCTGGCCAACCGCCGCCGCACTCAGATGCGCTCTAGGCAACGCAACTAGCTCACTAGGTGCGCATTGTGAAGAAGGTCCTCGTGCGGAGCAACCGGATCTGCAAAGAGAAGGACCGATTCAGGTAATCATTCTGCTGAGTTCGACTAATTGGAACAGGTGGACATCATATGTACAAGAAAGTGGCACACCTCTACTGCAGCTGCTAGCAGTCCAACGGTGTGGCTCTGGTGTACCGGCTATCATGAGAATCACGGCTTGGCTCTAGATCCCTAAATGGCAACAGGGTCTAGCATGCGAAACGCAGACATGGAAGCCATGGTTGCGCATTTCAGATGATCTTGTGTTCGCATGCGAGCAGCTCGTTCTGCCAGATCTATGACGACATCGATCTACCCCTCCCGCAGTCAAAGATCGGGCTGGACTGCAAGATCAAACCCACGCCCACCCTTGCCCTCGAGACACGGTTTCGCTTTCATTGGTGAACTGCCAGTTCAAGGGACATCCGT